TGCGGGCGCCAAAGAGCGCCAAAGCTCTTGTCTAGAATAAAGGGGTCTCGTATCCCTATGCGCTTCCCGCCTGGTACAGCGTACCGGCTAATTCCGTTCGGCGCCTTCTGACCTTGGGGGAGCTGAATACTGACACAGCTCTGAGTGCTCAACTCGAACCCCGGCTCCACACTCTCTGAGAGCGGAGGCTTTTTCCCTCGAGCCGGAAAACTTGATATCGAGATTTTGAATCGGCTGCTGCCGATGGGAAGCAAGTCCGAGTCTCTTTCGGATGGAGTATTTTCGAGCTCTGGGAATCACGAAGTACAGCCATGAGATTCCCTCATTGAGAGGTTGAAGAACTTGAGCTCACGTCGAGATGTATTCGAGAGAGCCCCTCATGGGGTAATCTTCTGATCTTTCACGCTCGACCATCTCTCTAGCAGCAGCTCCAATGCACAAAATCGCTGTCAATTCACCGCGCTATCCTGGTCGTCGAAGATAGATTAGCGGCTCAGACTCATAGCAAGCTTTCAAATTTATAAAGTTCTGTGGCTCCTATTCCATTCCCCCGACAAAGAGCCTCCCAAAGTACCGGACCTCCCCCTGAATTTTCTGTGCTCTTGCAGTGCACAGGACGGTCGGCATGATGCGCAGAGAATGCGATGATCTCGACAACGGGTCCTTACCCAACAAACAAGGACGAATGGATGGTTGTTCCCCTCTGGGAGTCCTTCCCCACAGCATCAAGGAGCGAACCTGTATCTCCCACCAACCCCTTTCCAAGAGAAATTGATCGCCAATAACCCGTTCGACGACAGCCACAATGCTAGCGCACATCTCAAGGGAAATGTAGCGAAGAATTTCCCGCCCGGGAAAGGTGAGACCTCAAGGCTCAGGACGCCGGTGGCTCGCGATGATTTTCGGGGAGATTAGTGAGAACGCTCTTACTACCGCAATCTAACTTCGAATACCTTCCCCGCCCTTTAGGTCAATACATGAGCCGCGAGAATGGAGGAGCAATGTACCCGTGTGGGGTGTGTCATAAAGAAGTGCACGACAACGACCAGGCCGTATTTTGCGAGCCGGGCTGCAACTTTTGGTTCCACAGAATTTGCACTGGACTAACTGAAGCAGCATTCCACATGCTGACGCAGGAGATCGCTGCTGAGTGGGTCTGTGATAAGTGTGCTGTGCACAACAAAGTACCGCTTGTGAGATTCAAACAATAGGGCCGGCATCAACTGTACATAGAAGAGTTCAGAGTGTCAGCGGATCGGACCAGAGCCTGGACTCCAGCTCGGAAATCAAGCGGAATCAACACAACGCCCTATTCAAGAGCTGGCCGGTCCGCGACGTCATCTACACATCTGTAGGATACGTATCACCGAGAAAGAAATTTACCGGTCGCGGAAAACATCAGTTCGGCTGCGCTGACTTCTAGGAAACGGATTATTTTGTCGAGCAGCCGAGTCATTTTGATTTTCGCAGCCATTCTCATCGACGCAATAAAGTCATTAGACCTCAGGAATAACGAGCGCTATACTTTAATGGGTGAAGTGGATTTATGAGGAAATTTTGTAGCTCCTTGCACAAATTCCATGGCTGGGCGCAGGCGGACTTTCTCCAATGCTACCTATCGTCATCCGACTGCGAGCCCTGTATCACATGACGACGATTGACTCGATGAGCTTTCGTCGCGTTGTATAATTTACAATAATTCGTATCGTCCCAACATTCCCTCTCTCTATTCCATGACGTATCCCGTGAGATCAACTTCTCCGATCTGATCCCCGTCAGAGCCGACAGTTATCTGCACGAGGTGCTGAGGGTCTGAATCGTCGAGGATTCGGCTTATGAAGTCCTCATTCGCTCCATTCGATATCGGGGTCGGATCTTCCGCTGGTGGATGCTCGTCGATGGTCGAAATCACAATTTCCTGGAAAAAAGGAATCGAGAGTTTGAGGTCGTTCGAAGTCGGAGAGAAGCTGTCGGGAATCTCGCGAGACGGAACTCATGATAAGAGAATGCGAGCCAGTTGGAAACGCCGGATCTATGCCTCAATATATTACCTGACTCAAAATCGTCTCATCAGCCGTCATGAGCTCTTCTGGATGCGGTTCGAGTGGAATCGGCTCGGGGAATTCCTCTATTTCTTCCTGTACAACTTTGAGCTTTTTCGTTCTCCGTTTCTTCGTATCACGATGAGAATGAATCATGTGCATCTCTAGTCTCGCTTGACTGAGCATACCTTTATCACATATCGAGCAGAATATTTCGTAAGCTTTAGTATGAACTGAGATGACGTGATTTTTCAGTGCTCCGGGCGAGAAGAATTTCTTCTGACAAAACTCGCACGTGTTGGCGCGTTCCTCCAAATGCTTCCGGATGTGATAACTGAGAAGGAGTTTAGAGCCAAAGGGCTGCTTCGAGCAGATGTGACACGAGAGCTCAGTCTTCTCGGAGTGGGCTACCATTTGGTGAGCCAACAGACTGCTCTTGTACTTGAAGCGGAGCTTGCACTCATCACAGTAGAACACCCAATTCGAATTGCCAACGTACGTCTTTCCCTTGTTTCCCACCTCCAACCTCGTGTGCCGTTGCCGGTGCACGCAGAGCGACGCGGCAGTCGTGAACGTCTTCTTACATGTAGGACACTCGAAGTTCCTGACCGTCAAGTGACTCCGACAATGGTACTCCAGGTGCGCGATGGACTCAAAGCAGAATCCACAAGTTAAACACTTGAGCTCCTTCTCGTCACTGGCATGACATGCCTCCATATGCTGTTTGAGTCGAGCCTCGTTCGGGAGTCGTCGAGCACAGATTGGACAGGGAACGTGCTTTTTGAAATGACGAACGTTTATGTGACGATTGAGAACGTCGAGGAGTGGGAAACTGAGATCACAATACGGACATTCAAGCCGGTCGCGGTGGGTGGCGCGATGGAGACGGAACCGGTTCGCCGAGTACGAGCTGAATGGACAGTTCTCGCAGCGGAAGCGGGACAGGCCTGCGTAAGGCTCATCGCCATTTACCGCTTCGGAGTCATCGAAATGCACGATGGCCAAGTGACGTTTTAGCCTCAGCTCAGTCACGAATCGATTCTCGCAAATACCACATTGATAATTCAAAGTCTGATAATGCGTCATCCGTAGGTGTTTCTTCATCTGACTCGCCGTGCGGTATTCCGATTACAAATCTGACATTTGACGCTATCCGTTGTGTGCAGATGACGTACGGCTCGGTGCGCCCGGAGGTTCCCGCTCGAAGACGTCGTAAATTCGCAGAACTCGCAGCGGTACGGCTTCAATTTGTTGTGATTATTGAGGTGCGTCCGCAGTGATCCTGCTGAAGTGGTCCATTTTTGACACAGATTACATTGGTACGTCGATTTGCCTACGGTCGCTGGGAGCGCCATGTGTATCAATTGATGATTCAGATGCACCGTACTATCTATGGTACGGTGAGCACATAAAGCGCACTCGTAGATTTCGATCTCCTCGTGTTTCGTCTCTATGTGCTTGAGAACGTTCTCCAGAGATCCACATGACTCGCCGCAGTGTATGCAAATCCCTGATGACACCGTGCACTCTTCGGAGTGCGTTGCCAGAGCCGTTGCCGTACAGAAGACGTGGAAACAAGAATTACAAACGTTCTTGCCAAGCATGTTGATTTTGGGGTGGACATCGACCATATGTTGCTCAAGACCGTCGACAGTTTCGAACAGTTTTTCGCAAACGGAGCAAGTCCTGGCAGTATGTTTCGACATGTGTGAGCTGAGACTCTTGTCGTCGGAGAACTGGAGTTTGCACATGTCACAGGTGATTCCTTTCGAATGCTGCTTCTCCTCATGCTCGAGGAAGGCTTGCTGAGACAGAAAAATAATATTGCAATGGGGACAAACTTGTGCGTGTTTGGCTTGCATGTGGGCTATGTGGGCTTTTTTCGTCTGGAGAATCGCGCTACATTCCGAGCAAGGGTAGGTGCTGTGGAGCGAAATAGTATGATACTCCAGGATGTTCTTCGAATTGGTGCCGAACGAGCAATCCTCACAGAGAGTGTGAGGAAACAGTTCTGCCAGGCTCTGCTCCACCGTCAGTCCGCAATTCTGCGGGTGCTCGGACATGGCTCCGGAGCTCGCGAACATCTTCGAGCAGGTCGAGCACCGAAACTCGATTTCCAGAGGAGGTATGTTGTTGACTGAGAATGTTGCTCGTTGCAGTGATTGTCCATCTCGCTTGCTATGTTGCATGAGAAACTACAGAAGAAACAGTGGAAAGAATCCAAGTCACGCTCACTCGACTGTTGGTGAACATGTGATCGGAACTTATTGAATGAGGCTGATTTGTAGCGACAAATATGGCAAGAGAATCCACTGCTCGCATCTCGTTTCCTCCTGATGATGGTCGGTGTTTTCGCGAAACGAGTGCTTTTCCGGCTGTAGGAACCTGACGACGCATGTTTATCGATGATGTGACTGTGCATGGAATCCTCACGGATTGTTCTGAAAGTACACGATTGGCAGTCCAGAACGCTGACTTGGAAATTACCGACTGCGGGATTATCCGATTTGGCGTCCGCCGATGAGTGGGCCCGAGCTTCCTTCTGGAAAAAGAGAGATTCGAAAACGGGACCTTCGGAGTCGCAAGTATGAAACTTCCCGGGCAGAGAAAAATAGGGCGCGAACTTTCGTCAAGATCTTCGCTCCGACCAGACTATATATGCGTACCTTGCCAGTGCTACAGTCTTGGAAGTGATCGGTGGCCTCCGACTCGGTCTCGAAGAGTTGTTGACAGATACCACACTGATAGACAGCGTTGATGGACTTCCTGTTTTCGTCCTCATTCTTCCGTTCTGGCAACGAGGGGTGATCTGGAGAAGAAGTGATCTTCAATTCGAAGCCTGATACGATCAGCTCACAGTTCTTCGAGGAGGATCTTCGGAACTCGTTTTTAGGCGCCAATGGCAGAAGAGAAAGCAAGCCTCGATATCAACTTGCTGCGAAGAGCTACTTGCTCCCAACATCGTCCTATCGATTCTAGACATGACGCGCCTCCAAAACCATCAGTTTCTGGCGTCTCTGCATGGAGGATCGCAGTGAAATCTGGGGAGTTTCAGACGGTTTCCCACACCGGGCTTTCCGTGGGCACAACCAGTCCTCGACATGGCGGGCAGCGGCGTCATTCGATCTCTCAGTAGGACGACCATCGCGCTTCTAAGACGCAGGGAATAAGGATCATGTGAGCGGCAGCCTGAACTTTTGCGCCATAATTTTTGAAAAACATCAGGGAGCATTAGACAGCTCTCGAGCGACCACGGTTATAGATACGAAGAATCTGCGAGGCTCTGCTCTGCGAGTTTGCAGAACTTCAGGGACCGGGACTTACGTTTATTGTTCGCTTTCATCTCGAACTCCGCTTGGGAAGCACGGGGAGTAATGGAACTAGAGATTCTACCATAGTGAAACCGAGACAACTTTTGGGAATCGATCCGTAACGCCGTGTCCGTATACCATCAAGAGCAGACGCTTCACTCTCTCTGGGACAGGGCTCCTGAGGAGTGGTGATAATTCGAACTTCTCCGGCGCGCTTCGAGCGTTCTGCATCGTCGGCAGACGATTGAGCCGACATTTTTTGGGACAAAAACAGAGGAATAGTCTAGGTTACATATATGAGCAGGAATTGACGCACAGAGGAGCCCGAGAGACGCAAGACAATGTATCCTCAAAACAGAACAATTATCTAAAATATCTCATCCTCCACGCATGGCTGTATTACCCGCGCGACGCCGCCCTCCGCGGCTCTAATTGCCGATAATCGGCCCCGTTCGACTCCGGAATCAGTTCCAGACCTTGTGAGTTGTGAGACGCTCGGTTTCAATCTCTCGGACCGGAACTGATTTTGCTCTCGAGTCTCGAAATGACAAGGCCGCAGGCCTGCATTGAACCTCGCACCATTCTTGAGAAGCGACATCCATCCATCGAGGGAGCAAGAGCTCGAAGTGTTTTTCGACAAGGTCGGAGACAGAATCTCCCATGCCCGAATGTCTGGTCTCGACACGTTCCTGCTTCGAGTTCTCGAATACGATCTCCCCTTTCAATGGAGTTTTGCGTCGTCGTTCACCGACCCAGCCGGGAATTCCGTCATCGCGCTCCTGTGGACAGATGGTATGGCGAGGAGCTGCTGATGGATAAATTCACGCCATTCATGCCCCTCAGGAGCGAGAACCATCTGTTATCAGCTCTCGCGCAATCAGGGAAGCAAGCTATCAGCCGAGGCGACGGGAGACTACCGAAGGTGGAGGTCGAGGGTGACAGAAAAGGTAGGTCTCGACTCAGCCGGTTCGGTAACGACGTCACAGACGGCGGGATATTCGACACAGGGAACCGGTATCCCTGTCGTGCTCCAATTTCACATAATATTCCCACGGGTGCTCTTCCGAAACATGAAAGTTAAGCGGGCAGACGACGGAGCAAGAGGAGGCGGCACCACCGCAGGAGACAGGAGGCGCAGTTTCGGGGATCTCCTCGGGGTCCCCCCTTCTGGCGGAGGGATTCCCGGGAGCACGCTCTTATCGCTGAAAAGCCTTAGGAAATAATTCATCTAATTTAATTCCAAAACTTAGGAAAGCCTCTCGATCCGGCGGAGCCGCTCGGTTGTTCGCTAGAGCCGCGAGCAAGATCATCGACATCATTGTTTTCACATTCCTACGTAGATGTGTAGACTACAGAAAGTAAACACAGCACCGGGAAGACTCATATGAAAACACCGGCAGCGCGTAGAGCGGTACAGCGATCCACGCGGATAGCGAGTGGGAGCATGGAGTTTGAGCTGTGACCTGTGACTCGTCGTCGGTCCGCAGTGCTCCACTGAAGCTCCAAAATGAACAGCTTCTGCCGGCTGAAGCATAGCCAGTACCTGCTCCCAACAAGTAGTCCTATTGTAGGTGCTTGAACCTGGTCGATATCATTCTCTGTCGTAGACTGCGGTCCTTGGCACGTCCGGTTGGACTCACTCCGATGAGAGGTCACGGAAGCCTATCGGGTCTCTAGGGACTCCGACCTGCGACAGAAGTTCCCCTCAGAAGTTCGAAGAGTACGGAAGTGTCGGTCCTCCCAGCCGCCTGGCATGGCAATCAATCCCGAGCGCGCTGCCGGCTTGAAGATTGTCCTTGAAGAAATGTGGAAAGAAATACCGAGGTACAGGCATTCCCATTCCCGCCTGCCCCTTTACTTGTAGAGTTCGAATCGATTAGCTCAGACTTGAGCGCGGACGACGAATTCCGCTCTGTATAAAATACTGGGTGCAGCGATCCAAGCATGCTGAGCTGATCCCTAATTGGATATAAGAATTTCGAGTTTACGGAAGGGCACTCCTTGTAGTGATCTGCAGAGGTATTTCACGGATACGGTCCTCGAGGAACTCTGCCTCACGCTACAGAACCCACTCACGCTGAGAATCGCGAAGCTTCTGCATGAAGTGCAACTCTTGCGGGAGGATGAGCTGTACAAAAAGAGATCCGAGCTGGTGAGCAAACTCAAACGTAAGTCTTCCTCCGAAAAGTCAGCCCCAGCGAAACCGACCTTCAACGACACCCCTAGCCCGAATTCCTCGATTTCTAGAACGCATGGGAGCTTTGAAAGAAGAACATCAAAAACGGCGGGAATTACAAGCTAGAGCGGGCCTCAGCTTGGAGGATCTTGAGAAGGAGCTCGACGCCGATTGGAAACTGATGGAGGTGCGTAGACTAGGAGAGCGCATTCAGAATCTGGACTCGACCGCCCGATCCCAGCACCATCTGATAAACATTTTTTTCTAGGACGAGAGTAAAGCTGAGCTGAATCAGACAGACCTCAGCATCATCAAAGATATCGACAATATCGTAGCCGAACAACAAGAAGCCTTGCAGGGTGTGGGGGTTCCTTTCTTCAAGGTACGTGAGAACTCCATGATTGAGATGGTTGGCCACGGAGCAGCCTCCGTGTATATTCGTCTTCATGTGCCTTCATTCGGAAGATTTTCTCATCCGTAGAAATTCCACAGAGGACGCAGAACAGCACGGAGCTGCGAATCCAGATGACGTTGATCGACATTTTGCGCAGAATCACGGAAATGCCCAAATTCCTCCCGCCCTCCTCTGACGTTTGATGACTGATCTCGCTCTCATAACAACATCATTGACCTGATTGTGAGCTCAAATTTTAATTGTACAGATGTCGCACAAGCAGCCACGATTGTTCCGAAGTTTATAAAATAATTGTATTTAGCGAAAGAGCATTTTATCAGACAGAGCACCTGGGCGTGAGTGCTCGTTCTCGCTGCGAGCCACATCGCCCGAAGCCCGTACGGAGGAAGACGATCCGCATATGATTGGTGAACCACCCTCGCGTGGTCTCAATCCGGCACGGAAATCAACTCTTGCCTTGGTTCTTGTATAGCACTAATGCGCTCCGCTAAGACGGTCGTTCTCATTGAGATCACTCCGAATCGGGAGGATGACTCCATAGCCTCTCATCGTTGTATTCTTGAGAATGACCTTTTTCATATCGACATTATTTTCGCGGCAAAGGTCGCGACGATGAACAAGGTGTGCTTCTTGGGATAAACCCTCATCCATCGGGGATGACCGGCATGATGCTCTCGATGTACACCCCGCGTACTGCACCTAATAATTTTAGAATCGTTGCCGGGTATCGGAGCGCGTCCTTTCCCTGTTCCCCCCCGGATTTCTCTTCGCTATCGAAACATCTACTCTTGCTGTCTGCTCCTTGCTTCGCCCCGGAGACCATCAGTCCGAGATCAACAGGGGCCAATGCCGCTCGGGAATATTATTCGTTGAATAATAAAGCGTCTCGGGATAACCTCCCATGGAGAGCCGTCCGCTGAAAGCGTGCAACGGCTATTCAAGAAAGTCCGCTGGAGACTCGCCTGCTCGCGGATTGGCGCTTCCCGGGCTCAGAGTTGACCTGCTCATCTGCGAGGTTTGACACGAAACCTTCCTCTCTGAAGTTCGTTCTGTCTTCAGGAGCTCAAGCGTTCCGCTACCTCATATGAGCCTCCAGCTCGATGCTGTGCTCCTATATAAGGCTCTGATGTCCTGGTGTTGCGGGATCGGCGAAGCGCGGTGGGTTTCAATCCAGGGGGAGCCTCCTCTCTCGTGCTAGTTCCGCTCTGAGCAGTTTCGTAGTCGAAGTCCGACTACGTCAGCAAGGGGAGTCCAAATACCGCAGCAGGGACGAACGATAATTCCTGCTAACGTCGAATGGTATCCTCAAATATCGCTTTCGTATAATGTGGGAAATATCATCAATGTGAGAATCTTTGATAGCATTGCCCCCAGCACTCTCAAATGATCGGATTCCGTCGTTTGGATAGTCATTCATGGAGCGTGCTTCCCGGTGCGTGGCTGAGCACGACACTTTTACAGGAATAACTTTTTCTAATTAGTACATAGTTAGGTATCATTGCCTGAGTCGCTTCGAGCAGTCGTCGGCTGCTCGTGGCTCGGGAGTACCGCTACTCCTCATCGATCTGAGGTAACAGGTAGAACTGCTTGACGCAGGAAAAGAGGGCACAGCAGCCCACAAGAGCCTAGCTATTACGTTCGTCATCCATCGCGGTCAGGACAATACCCACGATGATCCAAGCGTGATTCCCCGTCGTTCAAGCAGGACTCATCCGACTAGGGAATCGGAGCCCATCAAATGGATGGACCGCGCGAACGCTCTCCGAAGCCCAGCAGAGATCACTATCATCATTTCTCATTTTGCTTATTGCAAATCAGGAGTTCCCAGTCCTGTGCGATATAACTATTCCACCTATTCTCCTCTAGGGTGGCCATCGGAAATACAAACGAACGATCGTACGTCGAACTTTTATCCGAAAATCCAAGCGGAAGAACGTATCACGGTCAGGGAACTGTGCGAGCTGAAGTCCGAGTCAGCATGGGTCGATCATATGTGACGGCATGACGGGGACGGTGGAGGGAGAAAGAAAACAACAATAAGGCGAATCGGATCGCGGATCCCGGGATTCGAATCAGGCAGTGGGCTGAGAGTGTCGGAGAAACGAATCTTAGCCGGAGGCTTTGAGGCTGAGGACCGCCTGTATGGCTGGAGCGATTCCCTCTTCTGATTTTATGATTTTCGCTCCTTAGGACAGCTCCGGGCTGCAGCTCGCCGTCCAAAAGCGGTTCATCGCGAAATCTGTGCAATGGATCAGTGATCGCATCCGCAGTACCGGAGACCGGATCGTATCAAATGGTAGCGCTGTCGAAGCTTTTTTCACTCAGCACTGCCGTAAGGACCGCTGCAGTGGTCGGCGCCGTGGTGTTCGCCGTGTGGTATATCAAGCGCTCTCGCGAAAAAATACCGCGCGTTTTCGTTTGTTCCTCTGACTCGGATTGGGACGAAATCGCGGACGAGTTCAAGAAATGTTCATCCGAAGGCCTGCTTGGAGTTGACTGTGAATGGGTGAACGTGAATTCGGGCACCCATTTGGTTGCTCTGCTCCAGATGGCGCCGAATCCCGAATTGTGCGTCCTCATACGCCTCTGTCAGATGCAAATGCCATTGGAAGTGAGACGAATCCTCGCGGATCACAACATCTTGAAGTTTGGTGTCGCTATCGTGGAAGACGCCAGGCGACTCCACACCGACTACGGGGTCGAGGTAAGGGCTGCGCTGGTTCTGACATTGTTTGGAGCGCAACAACATTCAATCGAGAAGTATCTAAGGCGAATCGTTTCTCTTGTAGATGAACGGCTGTCTGGATCTACGGTACATGGCCTTGGAAATGGGTTGTGAGGAGAACACGAGCCAGGGCCTTTCCCTGGCCACGCTGTCATCTCGCTTCGCAGGTTACGAGCTGAACAAATCCCCGCTGCTGCGAGGGTCCAACTGGGAAGCTCGTAGACTCACGAAGGCCCAGTGCGTCTATGCGGCGAACGATGCGTTCGCTGGGATTAGGATAGCGCGCCATTTCCTAGGAACCTCCCTGCTGAGATCTCTGCGCGACAGCTGCTTGTCTCGATTCGCGATTTACGTCGACAAACCATTCCGGATGCATCCAGCGAAGAAGAAGAACCCGTCCACGAAGAGTTCGAAACCTCCGAGCTCGAAATCGAAACGAAGAACGGTCACCAGAAGCGACCAGAAGGTGTACAAAAACGCTGTCATGAAAGCTCCCGACGGTGAGATGCTTTGCAACACCGACGACGTTAAAGTCGATTGGTATCTCAAAATGAAACTGGCCACACTCGAGTCCGAAGATCCGCCCGTGATCAGACTCAACTTCGAGCCACGCTGTCGCGCGATTCTGGGGGGCGAGTTCTACATCGAAGAGAAACGCAACATTTGCGTTGTATGCGGCGCCGATGATCTCTTGTTGAAGAAGAACGTAGTTCCGTTGGAATATCGCAAAAGGTTCCCGGAATTGATGAAGTCTCACACCTCTCACGACAGCGTTCTGATCTGCGTGAGTTGCCAACACAGGTCAACGAGGCACGACGCCGAGCTTCGCGCAAAGTTGGACACCGAATGTCCGATAGATGTGCAGGCTCCGATGATGAACTCGCTGAAACGAGCGGCTCGTGCGCTGAAGACGGCAGGAGGGAAATTACCCGAATCGAGGAGGATTGAATTCATCAATTTACTCGAGGACCACTTCAGAGAACCTCTATCGGATGCCGTGATAGACAAAGCGCTGAGACTAGACGAGCAGCAGTGGATGCTCGACCACGGCTTGACGCACGCTCAAAGGGTTGTTGCAAAGTACAGCAAGACAGAAGGCCTTTTCGCATTGGAATCCAGATTCAGGCAGCATTTCTTAGATACAATGCAACCCGAGCATCTCTCGTCGAAGTGGTCCGTCACCCATAATCACGAGGCTGTCTTGATGAAACTTGCCACAGGCAGGTATGAAGGTCCGCTGACACACGATGAATTTTTGAAAGTTGTCGGCGCGTCGTGGAGCCGAGTCGGCGAGATAGTTCGTGCTGTCGTCCAGTACGGGCTCGTAGATGCCGGTCAGGTTGTTGTGTGGACGGAGATAGGAGGAGCCGGGTTCACGCAGGCTCCAAAAAATGACTGCGCACATATCTCGGAAAACCGACTCCATGGAGATCGCCTTGAACTCAATGATCGAGAATCTAAGGAGAAGTTCCACGTTATGCCGCGTAATCCGGATTCTTGAGCCGAAGCTTATATTTTCGTAGTCACGAGAATTCGTGTACTTTGGGTCGGAAGCGTAGGTACTGGTGAAACCTTTTATTTTGGTGTGCGCTCATGTACACAACGATCTGGGCACACGTCGTCATTGGCTGTAAAATTCGAGGCGCGAAATACTCATTGGGCCTGATAGTCGGAAAGGTTCATGGAGGAGCATTGACAACTCATTGTTGGATGGATGATAATATGACGCACATTTGAATCTGGGAGATGTCCCTTTCTTGTGATTCCCTATAACTCTTTGACCTCGTCCGCCGCTTCCGTCGATCCAGCCGAATCAATGGCAGTCGAAGCTCACCCCCACAAACTGTATGATTTATGATCTCCAAGCGCGGACTTGGAGGATTTTTGACAGTAGTTGAGCCAACTGATGGGAAGGACTCAGGTTACAACATTGTTCTCATATCCGACGACAGAATAAAGGATGGATGGGAGGCCCGCGATCTCTCTTGTTCCTCTCATCAATATCAGCTCGAGTCAACACCTTCACCTGTCCGTCACCTGTCGTGACGGTGTTCAGAAATGTGAAGTTTCCATTATGAATTATGAGGAGCGAATCGAGAGCAATACTTGGGGCCTACTCCAGGGTGCTCAAGAGAGGTGGGGAGGGCTGGGGCAATTTCCAAGGTATGAGGTTTTCTCTGTCGATTTCGTTTTAGAATTCCCGCTCTCCACCTCACGCGCGGAGTTCGCTCCCGTGCTGATGACTTTTTTTTGCGTATTCGATGCCGAACCAGATGTGGTCGCTGGCAAGCGGCTGGCCGCGACGGGCTGACGAGGTTGCGTGCGTGGAATTATCCGACCTCAGAGGCTAGCGAAGCATCGATAAACAGGTCGAAAACGATTCATCGGTTTGCTTTGATAGCCGAATCAGTGTCCTATAGGCAGACCTTGCTAGACGCATCTGATTTTAGCCTAAAGTTCTCAGGAGATCGAACTCGAGAAGTTCCTCGACTGGAGCGTGAGCTGTTAGCATCAAATTCTACACATATGAGGGTATGTCGTTGCCATGACATCCGAATCGAGTGTGTACTCGGCAGGCTATCGGCGCACTTACCCCTCGAGTTGGGCCCGTGTCGCAGCTCCGGTGGAGCTCCATGTTCCTAACTATGAGCTCGCATCAGAGCCTTCTGGAGGAAATCGACCGTGAGCAGCGCTTCAAGTAAGTTAGTGTATCTCCTTCAGTCGGATGGTCTCCGATCCGCCTTGAAGAAGTATGCAGTACAGGTGGCTCCGAAGAAGTGGTTCTCGTAAAGAGTCAGGATTATTCCATCTCGTGCCGGGATCAGAGCCCCCATTTCGGTGATTGCTTGCAAAGATTTCCGAGTGAACTACTAAGCTCACTGGGCTATTGTGCGTTGGTACAGATCCGGGCGGGCGATTTGCCCCACTTTGTTCAAAGTCTGGTCGAATGGAGCGAGGGCAATGAAAGTTCGAACGAGTTGAGAGAGGTCTGCCCGATCCGAATCTCCACCTGTGTGCCGTTTTTTCAATAATTCTCCTCTTAAAGGCATGTACTTGAACAATCACTGAAGGACCTGGAGCATACTGTTTGTCAATTAGAGGAGAGAAGCGGGAACCCTGACGTGAGCGAATGGCAGCTCCGATACACAACTCAGGTTTGTGTCCCGGGGCACGGACTGAAAATCTTCATGGCAGGATAATCGAAATATTAGTGCTCGGCTGGTCGGATAGAGCGAGCAAAGGGATCCTTTATTCAGAAGCTCGGGTTTCTCTCGTTCACAGGTAGAACTGAATCACCATCTGGATCAGCAAAAAGAATGGCTCCGAGGACAGGTGGAATGCCAACAGGGCCGACCATTTATTGGCTCAGCAGAGCTCGACCTTGATTCTTTTTCGGAGGTCAGTCCTGGAACCAATTGCGAGTCGATGGAGCGTCTATCCAAGCTTATTCCAGCGTTATGGCGGACTCAAGGGAGGACGGGGGCCAGCAAGAGGGCCTCCGGCCATCCAATCGAACGGGCTCCCGGAATGCCCACGTCCGTTTGACCCCTTTTCCTGCTGCTCCTTGTTCCCCGAAAATACATCTACAGTAAAAGCTCGTAATAAAGACCCCCATTACAACGAATTTCTCGGTACAACGAACAAGGAATTTCCCCTCCTTTGGCCAGCTCGCCTGAGGAATAGTGTTGAGCGGCATTCGTTACAGCGAAAACTCGGTACAACGAACCAGTTTCGTCGGTTTCTCCGTGTTCGTAGTAACGAGCTTCTACTGTATCTCGCGAATTTCGAAGGGGAGGCGGGAACCGTCGTTTGGAAATCCGCTGTAGTGATCCCCCGCACACGGATTTGGCGAGAAAAACGATCGCATCTGGTCAAGAGCCGGGGAGAGAGTTAAGGAGACTTTTGGCAAAGGAGTGCTTAGAGCTTACGGAATTGTGATTGAAATTCTCAGGCTCAGTTGGCAAGATGCTTGAGGCAACTGGAGAAAGATAGGGATAACCTCCGAAGCGACGTTCGCGATCTCGAATGGAGGTTGGACCAGGTGAAATCCTTTCCTTCGACCATCGATTGACTTCATTCATTTCGATGAATTCATGGAGAGTCGCTATATGTCTGTTGCGAGGACAGACCTCGGCAAGTAGTATGGTCTATATTCTAACGGATTCATATCAATAGGAATCGAAGGCCTTCCATAAATTCGATGAAACCCGGAAGGCATACCAAACTGAAATCCGAGACGCGATGACGAACCTCGAAGCTCTTCGATCCCGAGTGAAAATGATATCGAATGACTACGTAATGTTCAGCAAAAGGAAGTGAGTATGTCCCTCATTTCATGATAATCCAACCTTTTGAATCCATCGCTTCAAAGTCCCCTTGTACTGAAAAACATGTCCGACTTTCCAGGGGGAACATTCTGCCAAATCAGCGTGTCCTTGATCCGAAAAGGGGGCCTATAAGGAAAATCGCAGCCGTTCGCAGTCTTCCGAAACTGAACAGCGGACATCATGATCGCACCTCTGGCCATATGAGTGAATAGTGCGGGAAGGAGGCGATACTGGCGGAAGCGAGCGGCACCGGGTATCGGGAACGATCACGGCCTGGACTCCGCGGCCTCGATGCGGACTTATGAGAGCGATGAGGAAGAGAGGGCCGAGCACCGATATTGCATGGGTATCAGACCGGGATTTTCAAACTTCGCTTTTTCCATTCACAGAAGAATGAAAGGTCGAGCTCTCAGTCGGAATGAAGCGAGAACTACAGGCTGAACGGAGTGGGGGACGATTCTGGCGAAGAGATAGGGACGGCGCGAAGATGACCGACACAGTTTTTCTTATCGGAGCCCATTTCCGAGGATATCCCTGCGACCAAAAGAAGTCGAGCCACCGTAGATTGAGACATTACGCCCGGGACTTTCGCGAAGCAGAGAATCGTTCACCCAGATTTGTTGTGAATATACGAACCGGCATCATTCTCAAGAATAAAAGAGCCGTCGCGAACTTCTTCTTCGGTGCCCTGTTGACTTATCCACGACTCCATCACGGGATCTCCACTCTCAGTCGAGCTCTCCGGTGGAGTGGCGATATGACGGCAGCCCCGAGGAGCATCGATGAGGTCTCCTCTTCGCTTCCAATTATCCAGAGAAGCTCCGCGCGGGCTCGAAGTCGTCAGATCGGAAATTGAATACCGTTCAGAGGGACACGGACGCCCCAATCAGGGGTCCATCGGAAACGGCTTGAGACCACAATGACACCCGACAATCGACGACAGATTAGTCGCCGAGTAATCTGAGATGATAGAATGACTTTCAGTTTTACAATCAGTTCTTGTAGGTCTGCTCCCATTGTCAGAATCAGCATCAGCACCATTTGGCTGCTCCAGGTATGATAGATCGAGCCCTGGGAAATGTTAGGGACTTTCTCTCCAGGCAAAACAGCGCTTCCGGAGTCGAATCGAGACACACACCCCAGAGAGTCCTTCGGGAAATTGAGGAAGAAATTGAAGAGCCGTTCTGCTCAGCAACACTCTCCTTGTTCCTCTACGTTATCCCCCGAGCTATCCTGATCTAGAGAAAGAACCGGATCATCGATCTTACAGAAAGCCGCGCCGCTTTCGCACCCGCGGCTTCCTCGTGTATTCTAAATGAACTCAGCTGGGTGAAAATTCTTCGTAAAAGCCTTGCCGAGTGACCGGACTAGCGCTCTCGCAAGTATTCCTCGAATAAGTCAAAAAATCATCGATACCGCATACGCTCCCATCACAGTCCTCTCTCGATAAGTAACACTCATTCAGCGCTCAAAACATTCCGAGTAAAACCCCTCGGTCGACAGCGTTGTGCATCTCGATCTTGTCTGCTATGATTGTGAGATAATGTCCAGACAATCATCCTCATCTTTTGATTAGTTTGTATTATAAGTGAGTATATCTCGCGCGTGGCGGCGGTGGAACTAGAGAGGAATGTTTCCGTGTTTCTTAGGTGGATTGCTCAACTTCTTGTCCCTCAACATATTCAGGTCCCGACAGATGCGCATCCGAGTAGAGTGCGGCTCAATTATATCGTCGACAAAGCCTCTCACCGCTGCCGAGAAGGGATTAGTGAATTTGTCGATGTACTCCTGCTCGTATCTAGCAACATTGTCTGAACCTCGGTAGAGGATCGACACCGCGCCCTTGGCGCCCATGACTGCCACCTCGGCCGTGGGCCACGCGTAGTTCACATCACCCCTGAGATGTTTCGACGACATAACGTCATAGGCTCCTCCATACGCTTTTCGCGTGATGATTGTCACTTTGGGGGCGGTGGCCTCCGCGTAGGCGTACAAAAGCTTAGCTCCGTGGCGAATGATACCGTTGTATTCCTGAGAGGTTCCCGGTAGGAATCCCGGCACGTCAACCAACGTCACGATGGGGATATTGAAGGCATCGCAGAAACGGACGAACCTCGCACCCTTGACGGACGAGTTGATGTCCAGACAACCCGCAGCGTACTTGGGATTGTTGCCCACGATGCCGACCGTTTCACCGTTCATGCGAGCGAAGCCACAGACGAGATTCTTGGCGTAGTTCGGCATGATTTCGAAGAAGTCTCGGTCGTCCACGAGATCCAGGACCACGTCGATCATGTTATAGGCTTTGGTCGACTCCAGCGGAACCACAGAATCCAAAGAGTAAGCGGGGCGGTCCCACGGATCGCTGCACTGGCGTCGAGGAGATCCTTCTCTGTTATTCAGCGGGAGGAAATCGTAGAGTCTTCGGAGTTGAATCAGTGCATCGACGTCGTTTTCGAATGCTCCGTGAGCGACCCCTGAAGTGTGCGTGTGTGTCTTCGAACCACCGAGCTGCTCTTGCGTCACGTCCTCGTTCGTAACGGCTTTGACCACGTCGGGTCCCGTGATGAAAAGGTACGAGGTGTCTTTAACCATGAACACCAAATCCGTCATCGCCGGCGAATAAACAGCGCCGCCCGCACAGGGTCCCATGATCACCGAGATTTGGGGAATGACGCCGGACGCTGTCACGTTCCGTAGGAAAATGTCGGCGTAGCCCGCGAGCGATTCGACCCCTTCTTGGATCCGAGCCCCACCGGAATCATTGAGTCCGATCACCGGAGCGCCCACCAGCATTGCTTGGTCCATGATCTTGCAGACCTGTAAGAGAAACCCTCTAATGAACGATAAGGGTCTTCCGTAAAACGGCCATGAATTTGGAGGATTTCATCCTTTCCAATTCCGCTCTATCCAGCTCATGAGGGTTAGGATCCACACCTTTTTCGCATGGACAGAACTGAGCGATCCACCGAACACCGTGAAGTCCTGCGAGAAAACGAACACTTTCCTGCCATGGATCTCGCCGTGTCCCGTCACCACGGAGTCACCGGCGAATTTCTGTTTTTCCATCTCGAAGTCTGAGCAAGTGTGCTCCATGAATTGATCGTATTCGGTGAAAGACCCAGCATCCACGAGGAGACGGATTCTCTCTCGAGCTGAGAGCTTTCCACGTTTGTGCTGAGCCGCGATCCGCTTCTCACCTCCACCGAGAAGAGCTTGAGCTCTTCGATCTTCGATTTCTCGCTTCACTTTCAGAGTGTGAGCCACACTGCACCATTTGACATGAAGGGCCTGCGCGCGGACCAGAGACGGCCATCGCAAGCGAGACAACATCATGAGCTCTTCCTAGACGCCACCGAACGAGAAGAATATTCGAGGGAAAATCTCTTAGCCCCGCGGTATCTCTTCCGAGACTATCTGCAACCAACGGATGTCAGCCGCTGTCTCGGGAAGGGAAATCTTCTCGCGTACCGTTGGAACTTCTCGATGCTCCCTGATAGAGCTAGATTCCGATCTAGTTGGGGTAACGAGTGAACACTCGAGGTTGGTCGCTAGCTCAAGGTGTCAACATTGGTCCATGCGTTGACAACACCGGATAGACTCCAAAGAGCAGATCAGGAAACACACGGTGAGCGTTTCAGGCAACCGTCAGCAGTCTTCTGTGTTCGAATATAACGTGTGAGTTGAGTGCTTATATACGGATCTGATCCGGTAGTGAGGGCTAATCCCGAGAGAAGCACGATGAGAGAACATGGGTTCTAGAGTACCTGGTCGTTGAGCAACCCCCCTTGGGGTGGGCTCCCTCGGGTTTCACTCAGAGCGACTCTATCTAGAGGATCCGTCTCTCGCCATTTCGAAGTCTTCTCCATTCAGAGAGAGGGAGGTCAGCGAAACGTTTCGATACCCTGGGAGAACTCATGACGGGTGACAAGCGGAGCCCTGCGGGTCTGCCAAAGGGTTTCCTTGTCGATTATTATCGCACTGGAGTCATGGGTCGCGGGTGGCTTTCATCGGGACGAGCTCGGGGCGGGAGCCAGCTATCTCCAGCTGCGCAGCCTCGGTACCTGTAGGAATCTCAAGGTGCTCCCGAGTGCATGATATCTGACTGAAAAAGCGTTCAGTGCCCTGGATGTTACCCACTTGCTCATTCTCTTCATGCCTTGTGTGCCTCAGACAGAGTGATGTTCAAAATGGAGCTCACAATTATACTCCACTGCTTGTGGTCGCCGAATCGTTATTCGAAATCCGATGAAATCAAATCCGAGGAACACACCTCTGCCTGCACCGACGAAGGTGATTCGATTGTTCCCGCCTCTGCGAGTGGCGCTGTCATCTGCGCGGCGGTACACGTCGCTTCGGTGGCGTTGTGATTCTCCGAGAGACGAGCCCTTCGACTCTCTCATTCATCGGTGAGAAACCAACTCTGTACCCCCATAGTGACTTCACACAGCGGGTATTCCACGATCAGCTGTTTCTCCGTTCATCGGTGGGGTTCAGGGAGTGGAATATATTCTTCTGAGAGGCTCCACAGGTCATAATCATGGAAGTACTGAGACCGCTGGCGAGCCTCGTACTACCCGGCAAATGTTTCGATTCGATCTTGCTTGATTGGAACTTCGGAGACGGTGAGTCAGATGATGTCGGCTATCAAATGGTTCTCGAGGGAAGTTTTCGCTCCCATCATGATAATGTTTCCGATAAAAAAAACCTGTGGCAGCGTATCGGATACGATTACCGAGGGCTCCGTCTGCGCTTTTGACAGGAGCTTACTCTAACCGATGCCGGAAATCGACGGGGAGGCTCGGATTGGATCAAATTCCTTTCCTGGAGATCCCGTAGCTTTCCCATGTTGACAGCGGCGCTGATGCGCCGACCGTCGTTGCCGGCATACTATCCCCAAGAGTATGAGCCCCTCTATGGGACAATGGGCTCGATCCGTTCCCATGGGACTCTTTTCGTACACGGAATCTTTCACCAGCCGGATTTTTCCGCATATGCTCCGCGTCGAAACAAAATGGCTGTGCGGCGAATTATTGCATCGGCTGTCGGAAGGAGCCTGAGTAGAGACATTCGTATTGCAGCGGCCTGTCTGAAGCTCGCCCTCTCCAAATGCCTCGGATATGGTATGATCTTGGGAGGGTCTCTCGTAAAACTGCCCCAAATCCTGAAAATATTGAACGCCAAATCCGCCACCGGTCTTTCGGTCGCTGCGGTGATTTCCGACCTAGCCGGCGTTACGGCAACAACCGCCTACAGTTTCGCTCAGAAATTCCCCTTCAGGTAAGTGAGGAGCTCTCCCCTGAGTCTGAACCTTGGCTCGGTTCCTCGAGCTAATCTATGGTCCATGATTGGATCGGGAAAAAATATTCACTCTAATAAACTATTCGATTACAGCGCCTACGGTGAAGGTGCGTTTCTCATGCTGGAGACAGCACTCATCCTCCTGCTCGCTCTGCATTATCAGGGACGAACGCTGATGGCCGCAGTGTTCGCGTTAATATACTTTACTGCCTGTTTCATCAGTTTCTCAGATACGCTCCCCATGGGAATTCTGTGGTGGGGGCAGGTTCTGGCGGCTCCGACCGTCATATCGGGAAAGGTGAGTTCACTAGACGCCCGTGGAGGATATCCGGGCGGGATGTTGTTTGAGCAGCCCGCACTCAGAGTACGGAGCGACGATGGGCCGAATCGACTCGCGGAGAGAATTAACTCCATGTTCACGGGCGACTCCATGGTGTGCTCTAATTTGATTATTCTTTCCTTTCAAGCTCTGGCAGGCTCGCGAAAACTTCTATGCCGGTCACACCGGTCAACTTTCGATGATCACCATGTCTTTGCTGCTCTTGGGGTGTCTAGCAAGGATCTTCACTTCAATAACTGAGACGAACGATCAGATCATGATTCTTTCCTACGGTTTCGCAGCCTTGGCGAACGCGTTGCTCGTGATTCAAATCCTAATTTACTGGGAAGCGACCGATAAGATCACCAAGACGACTTCGAGTAAAAAGAAAGAGTAAACATTTAGGGCGTCTCGTGAAGATTTCCTACGCACGAGACTTCGAATCAGAGGATGGCGTTTGAATTTAGAGTCACTGAAAACTATTCCGATCGGAAGACTACGAGTGGAAAGTCTCAGGTGTCGATGACTCAGTCAGTAAGATTTCAACTCAACGCACCGCTCGACGATTCGAGGAGATACAATCGAGAGTCTAACTGGGAGCTCGAACGTAGCTTGAAATCGATGTGGAAACCCTGTATAATAGCCATGAGTATTCGGATCTTCTCTCGGGATCCTCATGATAGTCAAAATCGTCGGCTCGGCCTGGGACACGACCATTCAATTTCGGTGAGAGGAATTAGTTTTTGTTTTGGAAGAGATTATTATATGAATTAGAGAGCAGCGATGTCTGCGCTATAGCTTTGTCCCACCTAGAGCAAGACACCCTTCAGGAAACCTGCTGCGCAGGACTCTGAAAAGTTGTTTGAATTATTTGATGTTGTTGGACCCTCTTCGAGAGTCAGGAGTAAATAAATGGATGGTAGAAGGGCTATCTCAATCGATAACTTCATCCCAAATTAGAGGGAGGAGCCTTGAAAATGGCGGGGAGGTCGTTCTGAGAGATTTGGGACATGCTTCCGCGCGAAAAAAGACTAGATCAGACCTACAGGGTTCAAGAGAAGAGTCGGTGACCACACATTCAAGTCGATTTATTGTCAAACCTATATTGAAGTATTTCAACCTTAACGCCTCCCTTTGAACTTGGTTTTCTTCATTTTGAGATCTTTCTGTCCGTGATGCTTTCCGGAGTCTCTTTTGAATCTCTTCCCTGTTTCTGCTCCTTCCTCGTCATCGTCTGCTTGTTTGTTTAAACTGCAATGGAGGAACGCAAATCATCGCTCGTTACGGGATTGAACGTTGGAAACTGTGATGCATCCTAAGAACCTCAGTCGCTCAACACACCTCTTTATGGATATCAGGGCTTTGCCTTTGTTCCCTAAGGCCGTCTTCCATTCGTCATCGGTCCCTTTGATGGAGTATTGATCAAGGTTGAGTTCCTTCAGAAGATCCTCTTTCTGTTTTCGTTCAAACTTCGCGGCGCCTTCTTCAAGGTCGCGTTTTAGACTTTTCTTGAGCGGTTTCAATTCGCTTCCGTCGGCAGTCTAGGGGTCGAAGAGTTATGAATTATTATCACCCCAAACACATCAATGAATATAATTGTGGGAACCACCATGTTCGTGTCGGGAGAGTCGTCCTTCCGCTAGACGCAGTATTCTCGGATCTGTATGACTTGCCTTCGCATCACCGAAATCGGCCTCCACAATTCTCTGCTCCTTGAGTTGTTGGAATCTGGTGAGGAACTTCCGCATGGTGCGATTGAAGAGGCCTACGAGTGAAATCGAAGCTTAAAGCCATTTTCTGATCCGCGTATCGCCGAGACGGGGGTGTTTGCGAACTCTCTGGCCGGCGTGAGACTCGGTGCGTACTCACCCAAACACTGGACGCGGTCGATGTCCAGATCCTTCGCTATGTCGTCGACAGATCGGTGCTGCAGTCCCACAGCCAGCAGAATACACTGTTGCACCAAGGAAATATGCATGTCTCCCATATGTCCCAGGAAGTACCATTTCGCCGCGATCGGTATCATGTCCATCACCAGATGGTAGTCCGCAAGGTTCCCGCAGTACTGCTCGAGTCGTTTGACATCGTGAACACTGAATTCTCTCTCCAAATCCTCTAGGGTCAAGTCAACGGTCGTTGTATGAACGCTGTTCACGATAACATTCGAAGCGAGTTTCGACTCCAAGCTACGGAGTTGGAAACCCAGGAGAGCGCTGAAGCGCTTCCGGAAGTCTTTGAAGAGCAGCGACGTCCAGGACTCATCGTGCAGAGACTTGACCTGAAAAAAAAAGTGAATGGGGGCTCTGGTGGATGTTTCGGAAGTAGAGAAAGAAGTTTCGATCTCGCTCCGGGGCGGGATGCCTTGACTCGGATGTTTCCGGATCGACCAAAATCGAGGAAAGAAAGTGAGCATCATGACATACCACAATACAAGAATGTTCTCCCGTAAGCTCGTTAGGTGTTTGCCTGACGTAAACTGGAACGTAGCCGAGCGACTTCCAAAACCGGAACAAGTTGTTGGTCAGACCGAAAGAGACACCGATATAGTCTAATTGACGAGGTTGGAACTCCTCAAGTTTCAACAAGAGCGGTGGAAGAGATTTCCTGGGCTCGATTATTTCGTTCAGTAGGTCGGTGCCGGAATCCGTGATCTCATCCATGGCCGTCGGGTTCGTGGGGTCGGTTTCGGAAAGACTCGGATGGTAGCCTGCAATCGAAGGATTCCGAGGTCGATGCTTCCGTGACGAAATCTGCCTAGGATTCGAGATTCTCGACAAGGCTCTCTCTGATACCCTCGAAGTAGTTACCTTGATAAAACTCAGCCAAAAGCTGCATAGCTCTCTTTCCATAGCCCATTGATTGGTAATCCGGATGCGTTGCAATCCTTACAATCCGCGCCCCTGAGTACTTGGCGAAGTTCGCATCCTGGAATTGCTGCGCTACGGTCCATGGGATCAAATCACCCGATGGTTGTTGATCTCGAGACAGGTGATAATTCGCAGACTCCGAAGAAATTCCGCCCTCGTAACACAATTGAATGACACAGAGTACTTGCGGGAGTTTCGAATCTTGTACCGGCCCAAGAAGAACGAAAATATGGTGAGCGGGAGCGTCAGAAAGCAGCTGGAGATCGTTCGGCGAGTTCTTATAGTGGGACGCGACGTAGAGACCCACGATCTCCTGAAGGAACATCTCGGAGACCTTGTGGTAACTGAACAGAGAGTCCCTGTTCACGTAGTAGAGTTGACAGTCGTTCGGCGGAGGACAACCGGCCCCTTTGAACTGTTGTCCGATGCTGGCGTCGAAACAGAGGAGTTGGTTCAACCATTTCTCACATAGATCGCCGGGCTTGTACCGGATGGATTCTTCCATCTGGAATTCCTTCAACGAGCGAGACGAACTATCGGCTCCAGCTGTCACCGAATCCTTGCGGAGCTGTGCTATCAGCTTCAAGCTCAACGAGCGACCCGTCCCCTCGTAGCCGTTTATCGTCGACGAGAGGAATACCATGTAGTTCCCCATGAGGTTCTTCACGACCGGCAATGGTATGGCGGCTGCCTCGTCGATCACGAGGAGTTCGGCTTGCGCAGCGTATTTATAATCCTGGGGGTGGATATACTGCACAATCTGGCGGGGTTGGCCTTGTTGATGCATGACGATTCTAACAATGCTCTTCTTAAACTCCGGGTTTGTACTTTGCACAACGTCGAAATCGATGTGTTGTTCGTATTTCATGACGTCGAAGCCCTTCACGATGAATTCGAAGACTGTTTTCAAATTTTCAGGAGAGGGCGCTGTCACGAACACGTTGCAATACCTGCGGAAGAACCATCGAGTTTTTGAACTCTGTCCTTCTCAGAAGGCATTCCGAATTTGTTCGACTCGAGGGCTTAGCTCGGAGATCCTCCGAATGCAGTGGAGATATTCACCCTGTCGCTATGGCTGCGGCTATCGCGAGGCCCAAGGATGCTGATTTTCCTCGACCTCTACCGGCTGTTAGTGCAACGGTGGCCTTCATGCTTTTCTCCGCGAGGACGTCCAGCATAAGCATTAAGGCCTGGATCTGTGACGTGGTCACGCACAGGTTCACTATGGGTGCTACAGGGGCTTCAGATAGCGAAGATTTCAAATCTGCGAGCTCCGAAGCCTTCTCGTCGGAGATTTCAGATGCATCGATCGGAGTGATGTCAGCTGCTTTCGAAGAGAGTGGTAAGATGTTGAGCTTGTCATCGACGACCTGGAAATAGAACTCTGGCTGAGGAATTCCTCCGGCCTGTACCTTGCGCTTCCGGAATGGAGATCATTGTTCGAGCTCCAAGATATTCCAGAGATATGTTTCCTTACCAAACAATCTGCATGATCGGCTAGCGAAAGTAGGAATCGCTCGTTGAATCGATTCACAACTCTCGTGTGAACCTCCGTCCTGTACCGGGAGTGGACATCCATCGTCATTGTATACAGCTGTTTTAGTGAGTCGACAGTATGCAGAAGTATACAGATAATGCCACCGCCTTCGACGGTCTCCACGGTTCTCGCGAGGATGTTCGGGGTCATGGCCTCGAAATCCTGGAGAACGAGCATTCCTGGAGGCGAATCAGCAGTGAATGTCTAAGTTCTAGATTATTATCTGCGTCGTACCGGCAGAAGTCTGAGGCTGGAAAAAATCACTCACCGAAGGTTTGCCCGAGGATCTTGTGCGTTTCATGATAGTACGTGTATCGTATTTGTGTAGACGAGACGAAAAGCTCGAAAGGATCCTGCTCATTGACGTCCATGGTTCCGTTTCGCACCTTTTTCTGAATTTCTTTCATTCGTTTCTGACGATGTGTGGTGAAACCGAGATTCTTCTTATAACACCATAAAACACTCGGTCGTGCCTTGACAACGCTCTTACTGAGCATGTGATGTAGGATGACAACCTGTGAGGCGAGGAATTCTCGTTAGGGAGGTACCAGAGCTTCGATACCGGAGATTCCTGCATAAGAATGAAAACGGGGCGAGCAACAAGTTCTAAATATCAAAGTTAGAATCAAGACTCTCCCTGACTCTCGAGGGCGATCTGGTGACTCCAATTCGGAAAAGTTACTCACCTGCTCTCTGGCTTTGGGTCCGACGATGAGAAACATGCTCCGCTGTTTTTTAGCCACTCCATTCTGAATCAAGACTCGGATCCTATTATCGATCTTCTTCCTTTTCATCGTAGCAGAGCCCGTGGACTCTTTCTTGTCCACACCCATCTCCACGACGTGAAACTTTCACTCTGGGGATCAGATCACTTGGTATAAGCCTTTCCGAACTGTTCGGAATGAGTTTCCCCTCTGCCTGTTCGATTGCACAAACCGCGCTCACTCACAATCAGTCCGATGTTGTGTCTCCGCGAGGAGGGAGCTATCAACACACGTGCTTCAAAGCCGGGAATACAAACAGAAAATGATGACGCTGATCTCTCCAGACCCTCGGGCAGGGCGTTTTGAAAGCTGAAACAGCTGGCGCTCCGCGAACAGCTGGTCTCGGAATTCCCGCATATCGGACTCCAAGGGATCTCCGCGCAGATTCACCACAATAGCCCCACGGACTGGGCATGATCCGAGTCTCTCATTCGGAGGCCTTCCACACCCTCTAGAATCTCCACTCCTCTCTACAGGTTAGATCGCTCGCTGATGACGCGCTTAGATCGCGCCGCGGCACAGGCCTGTGCCCGGCTTGTTATTGACGGTGGCGTGAATAAAAATCAGCTGATGTTATTTTGGTCAGAGTGTGAGGGCCACTTCGTGTCTCTTCTTCTCTCTAGCATCCTCGGTTACTTGGAATCGCCGCATCCCCGGGAGGAGAACTCCTGCATAGAGTCTGAGGAATCTCATCGAGGATTTCGGAATATGCGGATACCCCTCACCAAGTAACGCGAATCTCCACGGCGTGATCGGTCGCCGCCGAAGTGCAATCTTGGCCTTCCAGGTGAGCTCACAATTTCCCCCCGGCCGGTCCTTGAGATAACGAAGTACTCGGAAACCAAATCGAGGAGGGTATTCTGGCCCGCGTAAATCCTCGGCGAGCGGGAGTTTCGCTTCTAGGCTGGACGCTCTGCTTTGGAGCGATCTCTAGCTCTCAGGAAACGCTCAGCTGTCGAGAACATAGAGCATGATACCTGTCGTAGATCGAGCGCGTCCGGCCACGGATACCCTCGTGGAGCGCGCAGGTCCCAGAGCTTCACCCGTCTAATCCATTAATTCAAAAAGAAACACGAATTCCCCTAGGCGTTCCGGCCATCCATCAACATCATGAGTGGCATTGTTTCGTGTAGCCTCCGATATTTCACCGGTACGTCGACGATGCGCTTCTCGGGCCTTACATATTCTGTACATATCTCTGATTTATTGCATTGAGTGTTAGTACCATGATTCCTACCTACCGCTAAATTCGAAATTCATCGTGTGGGATTTGCGTTATGCGGACTACGTCGCCTTGGTCGTAGCGGAGCTCCTTCCAGTCTCATGTACCTCGCTAGGGCGGCATGACTCGCCGGCAGAATACCTCGCGGGAATGTCTCAATGGGCATCGATCCATTTCCCCAATGGGGATGCTCTCCGAAGTAGATCTCCTCCTCAGAAGCAGAGTCGGCACCACGGCTCAGGTCCTGTGATCACCACTGAAGATCCGATGGATGTTATGAATAGTGTCTCGAAGGCGGAGGTTTCTTCGACCTTCGACGGGCTTTAGCGAACTCCTGAAGGACTCGTGATCATCTGTCCCTTAGTCTGATATCGTTCAATGCATGTTGGGCATTTTTGATCCTTGCCTCTCCCATCAACTTACAGAGGCCATGTCTCTGGGCATGCGAATTCCGCATTCCGCGGACCCCTGACCTCTGCTATGAACGTGCGATGACTTTATTTGCGCTGGCGCTCAAGGCGTGCGACGATGGAGAAATAGAAAGAAAAAATCATCCCTTGTTGGTTCCCGTGGATATCACCCGAGCCGAGAGGAATCTGTGACTTGCCATCGTCCGCAGTTTTAAAAACTTCTACAGCGATTTCAACGAGCCGTTTGACATTGGTGAACTCGACAACAAGCACTTGGAATCGCGTGTTCAACTTCCCTCTTCCTTGATTCGGAATCGACATTTTGTTTGCCTTGGCCGCGGATTTTCGTTTCAACTTCTTCGCTTCCCTTGGGCGCGTAATACGATCTTGTCCTGTCTAGAATATCGTTGGGAATCATTTACCTGAATGACTCCACTAGTGGTCCATGCTCACGAAAGTCGATGACGGAACTCTCTTCGATATACTGATCTGATTCGGACGCATCCGATGTCCTCCGCCTCCGCCAACATGGCGTAATAAGACCAGCTCCAGAAGCTCTGCCTCTGGAATCACGTGCGTCCGCTATCGATTTCGTATAGAAGCCATCCGATGCCTTCGTTTTCTCAGAGCGACGCCGACGTGGTGGCGATAGTCACCGAGAAGAACCACCAGCTGATTGTGACTTATCGACCACGTAGTTAACAGACTTCGGAGGCAGCTCGAGTGCTGGAGATAAAAGTGAGCGAATATGGCTCCATAAGATTTTCTGTTCCCCCCTTCTGCCCGACTCCGGTTCCTCGCTAGAACCATCTCCTTCAACGGCTCCTCGTGTTCATCATTCAGAAGCGGCCATCATCTTGTTCGGAACCAATTTCATGAATTACGTTCCTTCAGCGGTGACTTCAAGGGCGAGATATTTTTTATTTCATCTCGGTGGCTGTGTTTCTCATCCATTCCCACCAATGACTCCATGCCCTTACACACGAACGCAAACAGACTCTTTTGAAGCCTCTTACCAGAGACAGGCCGCCTGGTCAGACATCTGGTGGGATGGAGTGTCGGCCGGCACTCACATCCAAATAGGAACCTTGAACTCAAAATACTTTCAAGAAATTCTGAACTGGTCGGGATCGTCCTTATGTTACACGATCAGAAGCCTGGCGCGTCCAAAAAAGCAAATCGTACCGGATGCGTCGCGCAAACATCATGATGGTTGGAATTGCGAGGAGCCGCGGGATTGAAGTACATTGAAATCTTTGCCGAGATATGAAATGTTGCTCTCGCATTCTGATTTCTCTCGAATTGCCCAAATCCGAATCGATTAGGAAGCCAGAAAGCTTCCGAAAATAACAGGAATGAGAGTCAATTTCTTAAAACGAGCGTGATCACTAATTCCATATCTTCGCGTGCCTCCAGATTTCAAAAACTTATGAACTTACTCCATCTCTTCTAAATATATTAGAAAGAACAAAAGTATGCGTGGGAACCTGAGTTTTGTAATCACCACCAACGACTTAAACAGCCCGTGGATAATTTTCTCGGTGCGAGGGGCGCCGCCGTTTGTAAATTACATTTGTTTTTGATTCTTTCGTAAATACTTTACTCGAGAGGCGGAGAATCCCGTCCGTGCCTCATGATCCTTCCCGTGGAGCGAAGTTTCACTTCTGACTTTGCCGAAATTCTCGGGAATTTACATCAGGAGAATACTTTGAAATATGAAAGACACCATCCTGACTAAGTGTGAAGAAGAAAAGGAAGCGAAGACGACGAGGGAAATGAACTCCCCAAGAGCAAACATCGAGCGCTATCTGCGAAAATCACACCTCGGGGTACAGCAGTCCTTGATACTTCGCCTGATGGGTGTCGAAGCGCCTTTCGCCGATATTATTCGAAAGAGCATATTCCAGCAGCGAGAGCATCGGGAAGCCTGTTTGCGGGTCCACCTCACCGCAATATCGCCTGGACCGAAGCAGGCTCGCCGCGTTTCTTCTTGTCTTCTTTGGAGTCTGCATCTTCCGATGGCGCCTCCGGCATCGGTCTCGGAAAGTGACGATTTTCTCATCTAATACAAATATCAGGAGAAAAGGTTCGATCCACTGCCGGCATGGGAGGAGTTTGCGGGCGTGGACGGAATTCTCGCGCCATAAATTGATGAGCGTCTTCCACCGGATACAACTCCGATATCCAGCTCCCGGAGTTCACCCTCGAATAAGCCCCAAATCTGCCACCGAGATCGGATCGAGGGTCTCTGAAATTTCTCGGAGGAAGTCCCGCGTTCGAGGAACCTCTTGCCTCTTAAAGGCTCGTGTTAGAAGGAGTTTGACACGTGTCAGAAGGTAACTACTTATTGACTCCAACTGGAAGGTTTCCTATCTGATACGTCCCTTATTCGCGGGACTTCCCTGCTGACGAAACTCCCGCATGGATGCCCCTTTGTCGAAGAAATGTTCATACCCCGAAAGAGTATCGATGGGAGCCGTCTCCTTCGCCAGACTTCCTCTCGCTCAGTCTTCGTTTGCCTTCATACGAGCCAGGGAAAGCCGCCATCTGTACCAGCTGTCAGCGTTATTCTGGGATGGCGAACGAAATTAGTGAATGAACACTTGCGCAACTCTTCGGGGGACTCGCACCCACTGCACCCGCTAGGACGATGCGCAGCCAATCTATGACGGATGTTTCGAGCATTCTCGGAAAACCGGGGAAAATTGTGCAGCACGAAGACCACATTATCATTTCGAAAGCGAGCAGCGCTGAGACTGACTGAGTGAGAAGTCGATTCGTCCAATCGAATGTTCTCCGCTCTGTGCTTTCTTGAATGAAATTAGCATCGGCACCTTCTTCACTGAAGTGGCACTATCAAAACGTGGCTTCCACGAGATGAACGAAGCGACTCAGCAGATCTGATGGATGTTTTTTTCAAAACGGAATCGACGTTTCATCGAGAAATGCTTCTGGTTTCATTTTTTTACTCTACTCGTTCGCGGCGGTCCAATTGGCGATGGGATCAATCGATCAATTTGATAAAAGCCTTGATGTGCTTGCGAAGCAATGAATGTCGAACTGTTGTCGACGACAATCGGAACTGTTGACGCGGCTCGTCTGAGAAAATTTTGCAATTGAGTATCTGAATCGAATATCGGCCCGCTTTCCTCAACCTTACAACGTTTCGTAAATATACCGTTGTCGAGCGATTGGGATTTCCCCAGGAAGTGGAGAAGCGTCGCTCCGGGAGTTTCTGGGCTCTCTGATGCACATGTATGCAAGGAAAAGCGCTCCGAGTCTCGGAACCCGGACATCATTTCCAAAGTATCGGAGCATAGCTCGATCGACCCGTATCGACGCTTAGTGTGTGACGCGAGCCGAATATGGGTTGGAAACCAGGAGCGATTGCAGCGACTCGGAGTTGGGAAAGTCGGAGTCGAGCTCGGGAAGCGATGTTCCCGAAATAGTGGCTCCGAGCCTGAATGAGTCCGACACGAGGTTCGATCGTCATAGCGCCGGAGTGAATCCTACGGATCTCCAGGCTCCTCTTAGAACTTGCTGCCTTTGCCGATAGTCGCCCTATTTCGAGTTTGCAGCGCCACTCGGCATCTCGAAGGCGGTTTCCATTTCGGCGCTCCTCTTTCACTTGAGAAGCCACAGTAGACGTTAGGCCTCACGGCCATGGAGTAAACAGCTCCTGTGGGAGCTCCTTTAATCATCTTGTAGTGACGACCAGAGGCGAGTTCCCGTCTTCCCCATAGGATAATTGAACCGGTCGCTCCCGCACTCGCTTCATTCGATCGGATCGCGAGGGATCTCAGTGATTCTCTTTTTCTCACGTTTGATTTCCGTAATTCCCCGCTTCGAATCGATTGGGAGCTCATCGGAATTTTCTCGCTTCCAGCCACCGCGATTCGCCGACGGAGCAGCGGGCTCTCCCTCCAGACCCTCTTCCCCTCCGGAGCTTCTCTGACCTCGGGGCTCCGGGCACCGACAAGCTCCGCGCCTCCCTCGCACGGAACTCCATCCCCGTCCCCTTCGTTGCTGTCAGTGATGTCAACCTCATCGAGGAACAGCTCGTTTTCGGCCGATCATTCCGACATAACTTACCTCACCCAGGAACAGGCCACCAATATCGATGTGGAGCTATTCGGTGATTACGGTTTCACCATCGATCAGCTGATGGAATTGGCGGGCTTGGCGGTCGCCACAGCGATCGCGAAAGCCTACCCCCCACCAAGCAAAGCACCTCCTCCTAAAGTTCTCATCTGCTCTGGGCCTGGAAACAATGGCGGAGATGGTCTGGTGGCAGCAAGGTAGGGCACTTGAGTCGGTTGATCGTGTTCCAGAAGAACGGAGATATTTCCGCGGTCGAATGAATCGTGTGCGCTTGGCGACGCGTCAGATAGACAATCTCTCGCTTCCAGACACCTGAAATGGTTTGGATACGATCCGTGCATTTTCTATCCGAAGCAAACAGCGAAACCGATATTCGCGGCCCTCCGACGTCAATGCGAAGAAATGGAAATCTCGTTCATGAGCTTCCTACCGGATGCCAATCTCGTCGACAACAATTTCACTCTGGCCGTCGACGCTCTTTTCGGCTTCGGTTTCAAGCCCCCCGTCCGACCAGAGTTCGTCGAAGTTCTCCAGAAAATGTGCAGATTCAAGGTATGTTCATATACCGAGATCAGATCCCTCCTTTAAGGTACTGAGACATTACAATCGATGACTCCTTCTTAGTAATTGGAAGAAAAATTGTTCCCGATTCTCCGGGAAGTCGATGCTGCCATTAGGTTGCCGGATAAGACCTCTTTCCCCGATGCTTCATACTGTTACATCGCCTGACCCTAGATGACGTGTCCATTGAATTCAATGAATTTCAATCAATCAAAACGGTGAATCGTTGGTCCTGGTCCGACGGTCCACCAGCCATGTCTCGAATGTATTACGTTTGATTCGTGCATCAACAAAAAAGTTTCGTCATCTCCGGGTACCCCGCGGTCGCGATCAACAAGGATGGCTCCAAGAACGACGGCCCGACTAGTGACGGAAAGACGCGAAGTCGATCACAATTCGGACACGCGTCCGATGCTTCCTTCTGACGTTATACGTTTCCTATCTGGAAGACTACGATTCGAGGCGCTCTCGGTCTAGTGGAGTGAACGCATCACTCAATCAAGTTTTGCTTCTTTTCTAGACACCCATCGTCAGTGTCGATGTGCCTTCGGGCTGGGACGTAGAGACAGGCCCGCATCAAGATTCCATCAAGCCGGACATGGTCGTATCTCTAACAGCTCCGAAAAAAGGGATGCAGAACTTTCACGGGAAGCACTACCTCGGCGGAAGGTACATTCCGGACTCATTGGCAGCGAAATTCAATCTTAAGCTTCCCAGATATCCCGGCACTGAGCTCGTTGTACAACTTGGCTAGACCCCTAAGGAACCTCGTCCACAAGAGTACGAATCATTGCCCCTCAGAATAAACGAAGCACTTGACCTCCGGAACGGAAGTGATCTTGGGTTTCAGCCGATCAGAAGGAAGCGCTCAGAAAGCTCTGTTTGAACAAGCATTGTCGCATCGGCGATCCATCTCTTGCGAAGACAAACATCTGCGGATAATCGGAGAGTCACGGGGAAGACAAGCACACTTTCCTTGTTCGATTCGATCGCTTCCTTGACGGAATTTGTTCCAAGTCCGTACAGACAGCTATGTGTACCTCTGATTCGGTTTTGAGAGCGTTCCTCTTCCGTTCGGAAAGGTTTCGGCTGGACAAGGCCGAGAATTTTTCGCCTATTGAGAATAAAGCACCTTCATCCAGTGATGAGTTCTGCCTTGTCTGCGCATACCGTACATTAGCCATCGAATGAGCCTCAATGTTGCACGAATATCGTGTATTTCTTTTACTTTTTCTCTGGGTGAGCCCGGGTAAGTATGAGCCTCGCGCTCCTCACGCAGGCGACTTCGACCGTGGACTCTGGGAACTCTTTGCCTCATCGAGCTCTGACCCACCGACAGAAAAGACGCTGTAACCACGCCAATCGAAACAGAAGAAGTCCGTAAACGAATATCGGCATTAATAATCGTTGACCGGCACGGTCAGCTGGACAACGTTCCATTCTTCTTGTCCCAAGTGCAGTGTCGGGCCTCGATAACATAATTCTCATCCCATTTTTTTCGTTCTCATCCCGATTTCCGCGATATCGGCTCTGACTGGGGGCGGTGGCAGCAACGGCATCACCGAAGACGGGCCGCCGCCGCCGCTGCTGACCATATTGGCGGTCATAGCGAGGACCGTAGTGGACGTCGATCGAGGGAAAAAGGAGAGATTCTGCTGATGCCTTTACGGGAGCCAATCCCCAACCAGAAATACTTCGCGTCTCAATGGACGTCCGCTCAGCGAGGGGAAAAGAAGAACATTTCACGAGGCGAAATACGGCCGGCCGGCCAGCCATCCGTTCATCCATCTAGCCATCCATCCGATCGGTCAGCCGCGCAACTGTCCAGTGCGGAACCGAACATACACGACCGTTCCTTTCTAACCGAATTCACGGAGGCGAAGACACAGCAGACATTACAGACAAACACGATCTTCCAAAAAGGAATCCTCCGAATCCAAGTTGAAAGGATCACAATCCGATTTGTCAACGGAACAGTGACTGGTTCATTGCCTGATGTCGTTTCCGCCGGAGTGAAAGTCGTTGCCGTCTCGTCGGCTTCCCGCCGGAAGGTCCGGTAGCTATTTAATCTTTGTCCGAGAATTAGGATCAAGAGAGGTTTTACGATCAATCATGCTAAACTAGCGGCTTTGAATGTGTCATTCCTAATCCACCGTTGGAGCGATCTGCGAATAGACGCAAAAAATCACTCGCAGGGACTGGAGCATGCCAACGGAACAGACCTATCCGATCAGTTGATTGCTCGACAGTTCCGAAGCGGAGAGGAATCGAGGCATCGAGCTGCACAGCTAGTCGTTATGCGACGCGGCATGCAGTGTCGAATCCTCAAAGTTTAGCGAAGACCGACGCACGAACGAATATACATCGGGAGCCAATCCATTTCGGAGATATCCCACTGCAACCCAATCGAGGGGACCGAGTCGACGTTTTCTCGACGGCTCCATCGAGTCCCATGAGTTGGGATAGACTCGATCGGTCATCGACGAATAGACGAGGCGAGAACATGTTGTATCGAGACCTGCTCGACTGCTGCGAGCAGCTACGTGAGTGTTCCGGAATGAATTCGCATTCGTGCGCAGAATCGGTCTCCTTCGGGAGTTCTCATTTCGAGGCTTCAATTTTGTGTCCCCGGCTAACGAGGAAAAGCATCACACTCGTGCCGCTGCCGTTGTAACCGCCGCCGACGTCTAGAAGCTCTATGTGGGTCAATACGTGATCCGAGACGCTCTCGGATTCTGGGTGTTTGAGCGTTCGCGGCAGTCGTTTGACAGCGTGTTATTTTATTTCTGAAACGACATCGGCCTTAACCAAGTTAGGGAGCGTCGTTGAAGTCAGTCGAAGCTCCATTTACGACCCGACCAAGCAAGCAGCCAGTCAGTCAGTCGGTACGTCGCGTCGGTCCGACCGACCGAACAGTCATCTCCGTCGTAGCAGACGTCTTCTCCGGCGTTTTTTTTGTGCGTCATCATTTTTCTCTTCTATTTCGTCGTTTTTCCCCGCTGAAAATGAAAGTGAAACAGTCCAGAATGCTCCCCGAGGCACTCCTCGGCTCTTCAGAAAAGCGTTTCCGAAAGTAAAAGGAAACACGGGGAAGGGAACCGCCGTCGGACATCTTCGGGGCTAACAACAACTCCATTCCGTAGAGCGAAAAAGTCGTTCCACGTACGCGCACCGCATAGCTTCGCCGCTGAGCGGGTAGCGCAGCTCAGCGGGTGATTCGGCCCAGCGATCCGTGATTCAATCAAGCCTCCCGAGATCATTCATCAATTATTGAGAGCGGATGCTCATTCCTCAGGGAGCCGAAGTCACCGACGAGATTCCTCAGTAATCAGCACGTCTTGCCATTAGCTAGAACATCTTTCAGCGCTTCTCTTGACTTTTTCTGCTGCAGGGACGTTCCTCCAGGGAGACGAGCCCAAGTTCTGGACGATGCTTACGGAAGGATACAGAGTCTTCATTCGTTCTCCTTCAGGGAGGGTAACGAAGGTCTGCTGTACAAATCTGCTTGCTGAATCCGTCAGACGGGGTAGCGATACCTCTCCTGTGATTCTCTTCCGTCGAACCGAGCGGGGGAGAATTACAGAGACTCATGAGTCGGCTCTGTGATCGACGACTCCGGCAAGTGATTCCCGTGAAGAATTTGAAAAAAAGCTCCGTTCTGAAAGGAAGGCACCGAGCGTGAGGACTCCAGACTTTCTAGCGAAACCCCGGGGCATGACCGACTTACGTCGCGTCTATAAAATCGAGAGGGAGCGGGAAAGTAGACGAACATTGATTCCACTGGCTCCGGCTACCTGCGGGACCATCTTCTCATCAAAGGGGAGAACAACACAGCATGTCGTTCTTACGATCATTCGGTTCATCGTTTGCCTCCGTAGTGCTGACAAGCAGTAGCGTCCATTAGAGGGCCCGGGGGGGAGGAGCGTGTTCCTCCCCCCAAGATTTTTTGTCTACGTCAATATATTGAAGCATGGGCTTCTAGGGCTAGCGTCATCATCTTTGAACCTCGGCCCCCTTCGAGGGATGAGTCGCCCCCCCCCCTTCCCCCTGGAAAGAAATTGTATGGAAGCTTGCTGGCCAGCGATCCTCAGACGTTGCAACTCAAGAAACATGAAACGATAACAGAAGCAGCCTAGTCGTCAGAACCTTCAGAGGTGATCCGCAGTCGAGTTTGAGCACGCTCCCGTATCACAAATCCGGATGCGGAGTTCACGTGGCTTCTCGGTCAGGAAGAATTCGGCGCGCCTGAGCGTGAGTTCCAATTTGTTCTTGAGCAGAATCGCAGTTCTAGACGATCTTTCGGTTACCAAAAAAAACGCTTCTAATGAAAACGAAATAGTTGAGGATCATTATTTCTCGGATCAAAGTGGGGAGCGTCCGTGAATTATCATGCTTTTACAGCCGAATAAGCTTAAGAAGTTTCATTAAGTTCTATTGTTCTCAAGTGAGCTCCTGACCGAATAAGCCGAAGAGAGGTTATGCAAAGCAAACTTTCATCAAACAAAGCGGCACCGCGTAGCTCTTCCCCAACACAAAGTGTTTCTCCTGGGGAACTTTCGACCGCGTTCAGTCACGTTGCGAAAATCAGAAAGTATTTCGTTTCCCGACTCTGAAAGAATCGCTGTAGAATAGATAATTGAATTATTATTCAAACTGTTATTATTGACTAATGCTTATCAAGCCCTGTTTTTCGGCCCGATCTAATGATCACGAATCAGCAAGAGTCGATTCGGAATGAAGAAACACCCGAGTCGCAGTGTCTATGAGGTGCTCGCTTGAAGCTGCACCCTGGTGCGGATCGTCAGAATTTTCATCTCTTCCCACAATCGTGTCGTCCCGCTAAACGAGAGGAGGCGACCAGTCGCGGCTCCAGAAGATGGAGAGTCCTCGATGACTTGCGGACTAATATTTCCGCTTCTGAGCTCATAGCTCGACGTTTATTTAAAGGGAAGCTTTTGCCTAACTTGCCGCGTGATAACCGGCGACACTCCTTTCTGGATGGGCCACACTCAGGCTAATTCGCGGGGAGAGAATGCGCCGAATTATCATGAGCGGAAAGGTGTAGGACCGACGTAAATCGAATTCTCCATGCCTCCTTCCAGGAGCATTGTATCGTGTCCATGCATCTATCAGAGAAAATAATAGAAGTATCGGCCATAAATGCAGAACCGAGCCACAGGGTAAACAGTCAGCGATACATTCATGACGGCAATGCAAGTTTATCGACCGACACGTAGCGGGAGCCCAATCTACCGGTGTGAAAGTATCCCGGAAGAAGTCGCTTTAGTTTCTTCGACGTTCACTACTGCGGTGCCGGGTCCATGTTGGCCCGGTGCCGGCCGTGTACGTAAAGGCGTCTGTCCGTTCCTCCGGCAGTCAGGCGATTTGTTGGTTGGTTCGGTCCGTGTGTGTATGAGTTGGACGTCCTATCGGTACCAAGCGTTGTCGACAAATTAGCGGATCGACCAAAAAGCGCACGTTGTTGCTGTGCAGCAAACAAAACGAATCGACCGATGACCAGAGAGCCGGAATGAGCTTTTTCTAATCAGCACACAGTCGGACAGCAGCCGACTTCGAAACTCATAACAGAGCCCCTTGTAAAGTGTTGTTTCGTGCTTATCGTCGCAGATTCTTCCCCACCAACGAACAATGCTGACCGTTCGGCAAACTATCGTACAATGAAAGACAAACACCGTCAAAATGAAAGTTCCTGTTGTACCACCAAGGGTTCCTGTACCGGGAAGACGCGACACTGTTTTAAAAAAAGAATCAGCACCACGCATTGTAGAGAATCGTGAGACCGATGGAAGGAAACTACTTTCTCACTTTTGTCACGGTTGAGGTCACAAGAGCTCCACCTTTCCACCGCTTGTCATTCATGGTCCGAGGGATTTACGACCATTCCTAGGAGGAATCTGTGACATTCCCGAGCCTTATCGAGTCCTCTGAATAGATTGAACAGCTGGATGTCAGTGGCCCTTGACGGCAGTTGGATTTGTTCTCGATCTTCTCTCGAACATGCGACCACTTTTTCGTAGGTGCTTCTTGCCGGCAAACAAGTGAAATGAGGAGCGATCTAATCACTCATCTCAGGGAGAATAAGGGAGACCCTCAGAAGACTTGGCTTAAGGTTCGCAGCGTGGTAGGTTAGGTTAGGTACGATAGGAACGATATAAGGGAAATCCACATCAGCTATCTTAAGGAAAAAGCCAGGATTTCGGTAAACATGCGGCAGCCTGAGCGTTTATTGGTCTCCAGCCAAGAACGTCCCGGGCAATCGTTGATATACTCTCTATATACAGAACAGCAACGAGAAATGCTCCAACAACCTGTCGTGGCGCTCTCCGCCAAGTATCCGCCATTTTCTGCTCCTGGCTCTTCCCTGCGTCCACGGAGGAAATCATCCGATGAGCTCAGCCTGAGGCAACTTCGGTCGGTGATCCAGAGTACGATCGCCAGACTCGCATGACTCGGCAGCAGTCATGTCTTCATATCCATCGAAATTATAATACAGTTATGTGCGCGTGCGCAGGGCAGCTCGAAATTCACTAATTCACCATTCCACTAGATGTCGACGAGTTGTACTTGCGTCAAGTAGTTGAACGTCACAACCTTGAAAAAATTCTCAACTTAGGACGAGAGAAGGGGACGGTGAAGGAGAAAGCTCGCAGCAACCTTTACTTGCTCGCTCACCTTTTTCGGAGCAGATGGCGGCGAGTTCCTAGGCTGGGAGGACACTTCCGAGTCCGATCCGGAATCAGGGCCTGATCCCGAAGACAGCGAACCTCCTCCGCCTCCTGTAGCGATGTTGAAACCAGTCTTGATCACTGGCCGGAGTTGTCGCGTCGATCCTTGCGATTTAGCAGGGCTGGACAACTTTGCCTGCGGATACGAATGACATTCGCTACAAAGCTCGGTCACTTGTCATAAGTGCGTGCGCTCAGCAACGAATCAACCGAGCGGTCCCCGATCTACTGGACTTCCGCGATAAACGCGTCGGTTGTCGTGCGCGTATGCTACGTTTTCGAAGATTCTTTTCTGTGATTTTCTCATCGGCCTTTCAGCACTTCGTTTCTCTGACCCTCAGAGCGATGTGAACGAAACATTGCGTAGGACATGCACCGCAAAGCTGATCCGGGATCTCAAGGGGAGGGAGGAAGAGAGCAAACATTCCCTCGGGACTCGCCTCGAGGGAAAAACATTATTCGATTGTTGTATAGGAACTCACCGGTTGATAGATCCGGTTTTGACTTTTGGTTACGGTACTCCTGCATCCAGGAGGCTGGAGCCAGTACGGCAAGGAAAGCGGTGCAGCTGAACTGCACAGAAGACTCTCGATTGGCGGAGGTATCATATAAGTGTGCGCGCTTGGAGGTGGTCCCATCGGTGGAGGTGGCACCTGCATCATGTGCAGAGGTCTCCGGAGCCGAACGGAAGCCGGAACGCTCAAGGATCGACGATGTTCTGCAAATTAGAAACGGATAAAAACATTAGGTACGCAATGGGATTATCCGGAAACATACGACGAATCACGACTTGTCCCGTACAGCGGCAACGAGCTGTAATTTTCGTAACTCCATCGCTAGAATGCGGCGAGGAAATTCTTGTCACATGACGGAAAGTCAGCCGGACGTCCTATCGCTGAAAACAGTGACCCTTGGCGGAACTTCGGGATTCGAAACATTGCCTCGACCGAGCTTCGTGAGTGAACCTGCTTAGGCAGGGCTGACTCGCTGAACTGTTTTTTGGTGAGATTTACCCAAGTCTGTTCTTAAGGCTAAATCCTCTCTTTTTGTGCTTGAATGTTTACACAGTCGAACGACGCTAACCGTGACTGGTTCGCTCTTCAACAGAGGAAAAAGCCTGTGCGTGAGCGTAAGGGCCGACGTATTCTTCCCCCTCAAGCCAAATCGTTAACTAGTCAGCACCCAGCTGAATAGCAGGCTCGTGCTGATGACACTCGACGATGTGCCGTAATCACGCTATTTTTTGTGCGTGGTTTTCTCCTTCCAGGTGCGAGCCAGAGAGGAACCCGCTCGTTCTCCTCGAACGAAATCTACCAACGAACTTGGATTCCATTGGGAGCGATTGCCGGAAAAACAGATTGAGCACCTCGGATCGTCCGCATGTGAGAGCTCCACATCCCCTCACAAGATGATTCTTCCGAGTCCTCAAGGCTCCGCGGAATCTGTACTCCACTCGACGTAGTTCTCGGAAATTCAGTGCTAATGAGAATGAGGTATCTCGACATTTTATGCGATGTTCCGTTCCGCACATCGCATGAATTCGATGCTTCCCGCCTCTCGTGGGTAGGAAGTCACAGCTGGCATTTTTAGAACGAGCTTCACATCCGAGCTACAACGAAACTCGCTGGTCGGAATCGTAGCGACCGAGTGTTCAGAGACATTTGTTAGCGAGTAATGTCTCTTGTGATTCTGCTCGTGGCAAGAAAATATGAATTTCGGGGGAAATAAAAAATTAGCATCACTCTACGTGACACACCGACGGCGGACCTGTCGAGGAAGACACGACCGACGGCGTAAAGTCACAAACGGGACGAAGTTTCACTTTCGCGCGCGGAAATTTGTCCCGCAATTATTCCCATCATCTGTACAAGGGACAAGTTGAAGTAGTTCGAGAAGTAACTTCCTTTTGAAGAGCTGTCAGATCGTCCCGAAACAGGTTTTTTAGTCCGTCCGGGTGTGTGCGTGCGTGTAGGTCTTCTTAAAAGCCGACAGGTTTGAACTAGTGACATCTTCGACGTCAACGTCAACTGCTCTGTCAACTTTCTTCCATGCGGGCTCCTGTCCACGTAGGGGGATGAGGAGTAGTCGTAGCCGTAAGACTTCCGCCGGCGATTCCAGACATTCAAATATCGCGTGGTAGTCAAAGCGATAGAGAAGCAGATAGAAACAACGAACATTCGGACAGTGGCAAAAATGATCAAGGATGATGACTCGACTCTACCTGTGTCGCGAGTCTGCCGAGACTTCTTCGTTCGGTGGCGACGACGGCCGTCGACGGGACACAATGTAAACTTTAAATGTATCGCCGACACCGAAGATGCCGTGTTGCCGAAGTGAGCGCCTCCTTCGACAACGAAAGACAAAAGCCGCGATGATTTGCCTGACCAGCCAAGTGACCAACAACAGCAAGAGCTGCGGCAGCACGAAGCAAACAAGGAGGAGACGCTGTGTCGCATTTGTTTGATTCTCCAACATTTCAATCGAGCCATCCCTTTCGCTCATCCCCGTCATCCTTTCATTCACTCAGCCATTCATTTCGTTTGGTCATCCCGAATCCTTTTCACTCTCGGTCGGTCCGACAGTTGACTGGAAGACGCGACAGCCAGTCGGTCGGTCACATCTAGATGCTCGACCGGTTAAACAAAACCGTCTGTCGAAACCCCTATGATGCACCCATTCGACCCGATCTCCACCCGGAGCTGTTGGCTCCGCTCATGTTCTTGACGGACTTTATCTTTTGTTTCTCGACCATTCTTAGATCACTTGCGTCATAGAATCACGATCCGACATATATATATGACTGACTACGCGTCCGACCGTGTTCTCTCGCCGATCCGTCCGCACGGAACTCGCATTTCTGTGGATAGCTTTAATCGCGTCGATGGGTGCCTGATATGATTCGTTCGAATGAACGATTTTCTGACTTCTACCCGACTCGCTTCGACCCGGATCAGGTGGGAGCGATTCGATTTTGAGAAGTTTGTCGACAACTTCACAATCGAAGGTTCCAGCTGAATCGTTTAATTTGCGTAATGGGCATTTGAGTTTAATGATGGCCATACGAGCGGCACGGCTTTTTGAAACGCGCGATAATTCCTCGCGCAGCTCACGGCCTTTGACAGCTTATGCGACATTCGCGATTTGATGCTGTGGCATACCGGCTCCGGTAGCCTGGCCGCGCGGCGCAGGAATAAGGAGCGATCAGATGTTCGCAGCAATCCGAGATATTCCATATCGCTGTTGCCACGATAATTTCTTTGGCACTTCGCCGATCTGTCGCTTGACGTCGATTCGGCTATCGCTGTCATCGTCGCCAATGCTCGCGAAGAAAGGTCAGTGGAGCCGCAGTATGTACTTGCCCCATAGCCCAGAGCATTATCAATGAGGAAACAAGCAGCTGGCTGCCTGACCGACCGACCATCGTAGTGACCGTCCACCCAATCGACCGACCGACCGACCGACTGAACAAGCAATAGCGTTATTTATCTTCGGCTAATTCCGAAAGCGACTTACGTACTCTTGCGGGGAATGAAGAAACGGGAATGTCCACTAATCGATCTGTAACAGCGCGGCTCAGCGCAGCGGACGTGACAAACACTGCAGTCACCTAACGGACGCTTCGTCTTATTATGACTCGGGGCGACCGCTGTGCGCAACCTGAGTACATTGAAGTTTCTTACTCGAAGTTCACAGGGACAGGAGCAATCTCCCTCTAAGGATATAGGAGCGCCGACTCCTTTCTCCCTTTGGATTCTCGGTGCCGACTTATTTCTTCTTTCTCTCGACTTTGCCCTCCAAGGAGTCGGAGCCCTAGATGATCGTTTAAACGAATAATAATCATCCCTTCAAATCATGAACACCGCTCGCGATTCTCCAGAAGAGAGGACACCCGGGGGGCTTTTCGACTGACTCTGTTTGCACCCTGACGAGGCCCTAAGCGAGAACCCCGGCCGGGGCCGGACGCACCGAGTCGCCCCGGAGCTCCGACACGCGAACCTACCCCGATCCGAACCCCCGCGAGGGACCACTGTCCCCTACCGGCGGCGGTGGTCTGATCGTTCCCTTGGGAAACTCCAGAAAAGAAAAGTCAACAAGGACTCGATCTATCAGCAAGCCTCCGTTCTGCAAAATTCTTCACCACGTGCAGCCAGTTAGCACTCTATTGTCGAGGTTGCAAAATCGGAAGCCAAAGGATGAACGCCTTAGTTCAGAACACAGACATACACCGCGCGAAGCTCTAATTCGACCGCGCTAACAAGGGCGCTCTGGGAGACGACCCCATGAATTCACTGTAAGCGAAGCTGGAGTCTGCAGTCGCAGCGAGCGCGGGCGATACATGGATTCGAATAGACTTGAAATACAAATGAAGCGCTCCTAGTGCTTCTGCTTAGGACCTCACGATGTGGCTTCTTGACCCAAAGGTTGGAGCAGACGATCCATGCCCTTGATAATAATCGATAAGGCCTGGCGACCCATTATCTACCGATTGACCCCTCGAGAATTCTATATTGGAATCGACTTCCGCTGGGATACAATCCGATGCCTTGAGAAGGAATTTCGCGGAGGGAGACTTTCCCCCGTGTCTCAGGGGAGATGCACCCAGTGAGAATGAAGTTTATAGAGACTAATCGGATTCCCTGGGGAAAACTAAGAGAATCTAATTCAATCGTGAGTCGGAAGGACAGTCATCCAAAGATAATAATCAGTTCCCGAACGACGCTTGAGTAAACAAAACTTTGGATTGTCCAGCTGAACCGTGTTGTTTCCAGAGGGGTCCGCGGAGGCCGAGGTTCCCATGGATGCTTTGGAGCCGCGTCGTTTAACTACCCTCCTTTTCAAACTATTTTACTACCAAAAAACTACCGGGCTAAGTCAGTTTAGCGCCGTTCCTGGTCGTCTGCGACGCTGCGACGCCTGGGTTACTATTTCCTCCAAAGCGGGACAGTGAGAATGCGGCAATAAGTTGAAAAAAGAAAGTATAAAGGGAGATAATGATCCTATGGTCCACGCGTTAATTGTGCGGACGAGGCTCCAGCGGAACCTGTGTTGTCGCGCTGTGAGAAGCCACCCACGGTACGGCGTAATTGGTTCCTGGGCGTCATCGTCCCCGCCGGTCGACGTCATACGCTAGAAACAGTGACGGCGCTACGGGGACGAGCTAGCTAATCACAGCATTCAAACTTCAAAGAATGCATAACAAGGTGTGTGGTCATCGCTTGACGCTCTAGTGAGTCAATCAGATCTTCAAACAGCGCGTAGTGAACCACGGGTAAGGTACACGCGGAGTCGGAAGTTGGAAAACTCTCGTGCGGATTCTGGGTATTTTGATTCAATGTACACGGGAGCCGATCAATTAGGAAACGGAAGTTGCCCCCGGGAAACTTCCTGCGGCTAATGAAGATTTGAGATCCCTCTCACCTGGGCCTACGGACCGAATTCTGTCTCATTTTGAAATTTCATGAATCGGCAGAAGATCATGCGAGATGGTGAACTATTTCTGGGAAAGATGAATACGGGTCGGGCAAAGGGATAGCGTCGCAGGCGTAGCTCGACGCCGGTGAACTGGAAACCTCGCTTCCTGATCGAAAGCGAGGAGTTCCGCGAGCGCGAATCGAACTGGAAGCATAGTGCTCAAATTCTTTCGTGAGGCACGCCGAGCAGGGTTACGGGAAGAATCCAAACTCACAATGGAAACTTTATCCTTTTCTGGTTCATCTTCCCGTTGTGAAGTGTTTCCTTCTTCATCGCTGTCAACGGCGGGCTCGTATTCATCGGCTTGATTTTGTCGTTCCGAACTAGTACTCCAACTTCATCATCGGTCCCTTCCTGGCGCCGAAACGTGCCGCGTGCGTTACTTCAGAAAACGTCAACAGATCGCCTCAATCGCTCAGCCAAACATTCGCTTCAACGCCAGACATTCGGCCGTGCGTCGTGTCGCTTGCGAGCGGAACGCGTCGTCTGTGGTGAATTGCCTTGTCATTATTATTGTTGAATAATTTCTGCTTCGCAACCGGAGCATTTCTGGGCTTCGACTTCACATCCGGCGACAACCGCGCTCGCCTGCGCCTCGGAGCCAGTATCTCCTCCGAGTAGGAGCACAGGATTTTAGCCCTGGTAGGCTTCGTATTTTCTGGCCTTGTCGTAGCTGAGACGAGAGGAATCATGTACGAGATGTATCTCGGAACGCCTGTTGGGCTCAGCGGGTAGTTTTCCCCCATTCCACCAGGACTTCGACCAGGGCCTCTGAAGGATAATTTGTGAGGACTCGGAGAGCGGGCTAATATTCATGCTTAGTGGTGCCGAGTAAATCCAAATGCTTTTTGCGGATAAGCAGTCATCGGATCCTGATGGATATCGATGCCAAGGGGTTCTTTTTGATTGAGTGAGCTAGGCCAGATCCTTCTTCTCGCAACGGGTCGTCCGAACGGGTTGTAGGATACGTTCGTCATTTGTATAATTGACGTCACGAGATGAGAGGAACACGTAGGAACTCTTGTGCGAAAGTTTCGCGGCTTCGGCGCCGCGGTCCGCCGATGGCCGACCAGCCGACGAACGAATGAGCGAGCTAGTCAGCCGGGCAAGCAAGCGGCGGCTAAAGCAAGAAAGCAGCCAGCCAGCCACTGAACTGACACTCATTTACGAAGAGAAGAAACTTCCTGTTGGCCGTTTTGCCGTTTACCAGAGCCGCGGCGCAATGAATGCACCACGATGCCGTCGACTGCATAGTCCACCGTCGGCGCGATTCATCTAACCATCTATTACTTGGTCCATCTTCGGTTTCTCGCGAAGACGGCCCACACATCTGTGTCTATCTCTTCAATCGTATGCCAATCAATATGCTCAGCGGTTCCCTCTTCCGCCGATCAATCAAATCACCGATCCGGTCACTCCACAAGCCATGTCCAAAAGGATTCCTGTCGAATATTTCGCTTTGATAGCCGATGTCTCCACCCTCCCCCCAATCATTGCGAATGAACCTCGAGTTTGAGCTCTTGATTTGGTTGTTGGCGTCTAGGGACAACAGAAACGTCGTCAGTTTTGGAAGTAGGTACTTTCTGGAGCGTCCCTGTCTAACCGATCGAGTCCGACGGGGGACCCTCGGCTGAGCTGAGGGTCCCCCCGTTTGACTTCGGATTCAATCTCCTTCCTCTCCTCCCACCGAAAGGTTCAGCGACCTGCTCATAAACAACAGTGCTTTATTCTATTGAGGGAGAGGATCCACTGATTCCACGACAAAACAAAGCTTCAGCATCGTAGGCCCCCACAGTGGTTTGGGCGATTCTCGTCGCAGCTAGAAAGACCGATGGTCACTTATCCGAAAAATTTCGATACAAGAGCCATTTGGGAGATTCGTGCGAACGAGCTCCGCACGACCAGCTAGAATCACCGATCAACGACGGGATTCCGCTGTGCCACCGTCAGGCTAACAATGAATGGGTGACGAAGAAGCGGACCAGTGTTCATCACCGTGAGCTAGCGCTCCGAGAAGCGATTCGATTCAAATGTTTCTTCCTCAAGCGTTCAGACGCTTCCCTCCTTAGGGGACGGGGGAAATATTGTCTCTCAAGTGCTCACGCTCCACCTTCAATGAATTCCCATCTCCTTCCGGCACGCTTCGATATGCCAAGAAGTGTGACATGTTCCCGAGGAGGGGGGCATTTGTGACACTCAGCTTCTCTCGACAGGCCGCCGCAGGAAAAAACTTTACGGCTTAGAGCGATGCAAAAAATGGGAGAAGTCGAAAACACCTAAGACGTCGGCAACTTCATCGACTCATTTTTGTACCGAGCCGTGCTGATGCTGGTGGACGCAGGAGTCGGAGCTGCCTCTCCGAACTCGCATTCAGCATATCATTGAATGGCATTTTCTTCATTCTATCATACACTTCAAGCATTCCTCCACGGAAAGAATCATCGTTCTCTGAATCTTCCGCTCTACTCCGGAAAAATCGGGGAAATCGGAGGTCTCCTCTCGGATCCCGAAATTCTCTCCCCTTTCTCTCAGCGTCTAACCAATTATTTGGAAAACGTGGATCCCGAGGAAAATTTCTGGAGGAGGAGGATGAACATGAAGGAGGAGGATGATTCGCGACCTCGAATCCGAAACGTGATCAGGCATCGCCGGAACGAGGGAAAAATCTCCTCGGACGCAGAAGCACACCAAGGAAAGGGTCCGCCGTCAGAACGAGTCTGGGGCGACATCGCTCTGAGTTTTGTCATCAGGACGAATCCATTACAAACACCGACAACAAATCGCTTAATCCGTGCGGCGTACGCCAAACGGTGCTTTTCAGATGCTCGATTCAACACTTTCCGAATCACGCAGCTGGCCCCGCAATAAACGCTGTCGCACAAACATGGTCAAGCGATTCTACGACCATTAAGGCGCATGGATTCAAGCGCCAGCTGACTCCTGGAGGTGTTCACGGAAGGATCTGCACTTCCCTAACGGCTACTTGGGATCAGGTGACCGTTTCGATTTTCCTACCCGGCCGCTGAACGAGGGGTCGATCGGAATCACAGACGCTTCATGACAGGAGTGGTGGTTTTAGATTCGTCTCTTGCAACCTGAGGACCTGTGTCCGATTTCGCACCTACTCCCAGAATGATTGCTCGCTCCCTCCCTCCGCACCTTTCATCCACGTCCCGTACGCAATCTTTCACGGCACGGCTTGAGAGTGAGTAAGTCAAAAACTCAATCTTTCGAACACGAAGCTCTCTGGAATCTCGGTCGTTTCACGTTTCACTCTATCAGGGGCGGGAAATCGATAATTTTCTGTACTGAAATCAGAGAGAATGTGGCTTCGAAGGCGAATTTTTGACATTCGGAACAGGCAACCAAGATAAATGCCTCTGGAGATAACTGCGGAATATCGGCAGTAACGACGTATCGTCAAACAGGATGACGATGACAACGCCAAAGAGTCGGGAGAAGGAGACGAAAGTGAAAGTTGTTATTAACAAGCACCAAGCGGAGAAAAATTCCGGCGGACCGGCGAGCCAATCTGCCGGGACACGAGCGATAGCGCATTGCCGAGCGGTCTTTCACTTTTTTTATCACGACGAAAACGAGCATTGCCCCACGACGACTTCGCTCGTTGAAGACTCGTTCGATCGTCGTACGACGCATCGATTTTCCCGTTGTTCGTAATCTGGAGCAATCGGGCGCTGGAACGCGAGTCGTCTTCGTGAGACAACGAAAAATTCGCCGTGGGATCTTCGTGAGGGTCATATCTCTCAGATCCCTGCAAAGTTCTCGGAAACGTTCGTGCAGGTCTATCGTGTGGTGGGGGGAGCTCATTGACGGCTTCCGGTCCCGTCTCGGAGTTCCTTGGTGTAAGCTCGGAATGCGTAGGAATCCAATAATTGCTCCTGAAGCGCAGAGCGGTACCCACAAAGCAGACGGAATAATTCGACATTTCGAGGGTGCCTGAATCTCCTCAGCCACACTGCGGTCCAAATTCATTGGGTCTGAGGAGAGAGTCGAATGCAAAAAAGAGGCATCTCCTCATGACTCTTGAACAGGTCAAAGGCAATCATATAATAAGGAATGAAAATAGCGGAAATGAAAAAGAGGTTCTCCGATGAACGCGGATACGGCACCAGAACTATTCGGACCTTTGGCCAAAAGATCGACTTTTGGCAGCAGTTTTCTTTTGAGGCTGTCGGCCGCAGATTCTTTCACGACGATGAACCGAAAATCCGTTAACGGCTCCGTGGTCGATGAAATTCCATTGAAGGAGGAACGAGCAAACACTTCCTGAACTCACCGCATCTCTTGTCCGATGACCGGGAAAGGCGTGATGAGCTATTTTTTGACAGAGAATCCGTTTTTTTAGCTTCAGGAACGAATTTCACGTGTTTTTCCACCTTGTTGTTGTTGCTGTTGCTGCTGCTGATGTTCGAAGGAATGGCACTATTTATTTCACGAGGTGACGATGAAAACGATGAAGAACTATCCTTTAGGCACTTGCTCAACGGCATCTGAGGTATAGGCGCTCGATGCTGCTCCGATGGGAGGGCCATACTGCCTCCGGCGAGCACCATGGGGTTCGACGCTCTCCTAGAGAGCCGCCTGGGTCTCGACGGAACTTGGAGCAGTTCCGCGATACCGTTCACTAGCTCCTGGGTGTGTTTTTCGTTCGGGGACGATACGCTGGACTCCTGGTGAGGAGTCAAAGACGAACGCCGGCCCCGCTTCTGACGGGGAGGTGGCTCCGGATTATCCATTTTAATTAGAATCTTGAAGCCTTTCAGAAAGTCTCGCACCGTGCGCCGATCAATCGACCGGCAGCGGGTCGTCTTGTTGTTTCGACAAGCACTTGGCACAGTTGTTGAGCGGGCAAGCTCGCTCGCTTGTTGGCTGGCGCGCGCGCACACGTGACACCGTTCACACCGAGCGTCTATCGCTGAATGAAGCTGCCGGGCTTCACCGTTACTCGGGTGTGGGGATTCGCTCGCTCGCTCGTTCGCTATCTTTCCCAAAAGTCCCTTACCACCGCGACCACTACCGTAAGCACCGCGAAAGGTACTGTCGACGGCAAATGCCGCCGTTACCAAATGCCACAGAAAACGAAACTTGCCGCACGACGATGCTGGTGATAATGATTATTATCATCATGCGCACGGTGGAGAAGTCGAAAGCTCAAGTCGATTTTTAGTCGCGTCGAATGGATGCGCTCGCTCTGCTCATCCACGACGAGGGAAGAATCGCCGCTTCCAAGCTTGAATCACGCGAAGAGGATGAATAGCTCCCGATAATAATCGTCCGCGAACACGAGCAGAACCAGTTCAATAGCCGCACTCGAACCGCGATTCACGAACTGACCCTGGGTCTCGGAGGGTTCGGATCCACGGTAGTCGAGATCCTTCCCTCGGAAGCTCTCCTGAAGCCCCTCATCGTTCGGTCGAAAGTTTCGTCGATATTTTTCAGTTGTACGACTCACGGGGAAAGATGAGGCGATCCGGCAGCGATGTTTCGGATAAAATTTATGGAACGACTTGGACAAGCTTAGAGCAGTGATAGCCGTCCAGAAGCGCGAAATCGGGAAGAAACTTAGGGAAACGTGTTCAAAATTATATCAATCTCGGATTGGGCAGTGGGTCAACCGGACGCGGCAACATTGATGTCTTCGAAGATGCTCTGCTCGATGGACGCTTAAGACGGAAAAAACAACCGTAGACATTTGTACTTCTGATTTTCCCTTCCATCTCCTTATCCGCATCGATCCGAAGATGAAGACTTCTTCTCTTCGACATAAGACTCTTCTCCCTCTGCTCGCTGCGATTGATGTTTTCCGCGCAGCTTGTATCTCGAGGGGTCCATCCCAGAAACGGATGAGTCCGCTGTTTGTCCTACATATGATCGTCAGAACTTCCTTACTGAACAAGGTTTATTCGACGACGACACACAGGTTACGTGGAGGAGCCTGATAGCAGAAAAAGTAGGGACGGTGGGAATAGTCGCGTCTTCCCTCAATACGATAGCATAATCATCGAACGCTGGTCGTAAAACTGTGCGTACGTGGTGGCATTACAGAAGTTAATAGAAAGGGACTCCGTAATCCTTCCGTACGAGGGTTTCTTCTATTTATCTCTGCAAACGTGAATACAGCCATACAATGGAGCATTTAACGGTTTCCTACTTCGTGTGGATTTTTTTTCCTCCGACGCTAGAGAAGAAATAACTCGTGCTTCAGAGGGGAAAAATCCGTTATAACCAGGAAAACGATGCTGGGCCCTCATTGTCCGGGCGTTAGGATGTAAGCCGTCGCGTCGGGGAAAAACTCCGACGTCTCGCAAACTTCTATATGGGGATTCCCATGGGGGGAGACTCCACTCTGGCGTTCGAATCATGCGTATTGCTCGCTGGTCTTCTTGCTTGAACATGCATCGGGATCTTCCCTCCCGAGTGCGATCCGAGCGCGAACGCTGTTATGCTGAAGAGGCGATTGGAGCTGTGACCAGGGGCTACTCCGAGCTGTGCCACGGAGCGGAGTTCGTACAGAGCCCGGTAGATACGATGTTCGAAGATCGGGGGGTTGCGCGGATAAGGTAGAGGAACAGAAGAAGCGGGGGATCATCCTCACCGTCTTGGCGAATTGAACGACAAGTCTCGAACGGCGCCGGCGTCTCGCTGGCCGGCTCATCTCGACGGAAGCAGCGGGAGGGAGTATACTACTGACTCAGGTCCGGTAACGAAATCTGGTACCAAGCTCCGCTCGTCGCCAGGGAAGCTTCATGGAAAACGAATTGTACTCCCTCGGAGTTGAGCGCAGGAATTTGCATATGATAAATGATATAATACGCAACTCGACGGCTGTGTAGAGGAAAAACCGCATATTCTCTCAAAATAGGTATCTTAGATCCTCAGTGACAAGCGGAATCATCCCCATCGCGAAGTCTCCTTCGAGAAGAGCGGAGCCATTTTCTGCCTCCGAGAACTCTCCACGTTTCGAAGGAACCCTACTTTCGGAGCGAACATAGTTTTCGGTTGAAATGCTCCTACAAAACGATGCTCGAACTGAAAACCGTCTACCGGTACGCGGCTTAGCCCTGTGCGGTTTCAAAAAGAATATAAATGATCAGACCCATTGATTCCGTTTGTTGCAACGCCGTGCCGATTTTTATCCTTATTTCAAGAGCAGAGTCGAGATCCGTCACCCGTGTTGAGCTAAAAAATCACTCCATACGATGGAGCCTGCGAGCTGTAAATCTTAGAAACAAGTGGAACAAAATCAGAGATACGAAGAACACTGTTACCATTTGGGCGAAAATAAAAGAGAAAAAATATATATATATTTGCTAACTCAATCAATCATGTCGGATCAACATCACGACCGCAATGCGAAGATAAGGTTATCATCATCCTCCTTCTGTCCGGACCGGCTTGGACCTTGGACGCAGAGCAGCAGAATCAGAACTACTCGAGCTCGGAACAGCGCTGGACGGACCTCCGATTTTGACGAAAATCGAAAGTGATTCGAGCGAGGTACGGTTCCTCGGTGACCGTATGACCTCCTATTCGGAGCTTGAAAACTTATGAGGCATTTCCAACTGCCTCGAAAGCGCGAAACCGGCGAGACCGACGATGCAGTGATCACGATTCCGGCTTCTTCCAGCACAACAAATGCGCTTCAAGTTTCATTTTCAGTGAATGTTTCAGCCAACTCATTTCTACTCATAATAGGTGGAGCCGTCGATATGGGTCAGAGGGAGAATAATCTTACCTCCGGAAAGTCTGCCAGAGAAATTTCCTCTCAAACTTTGCTCCAGAAGGATGGGACGATGAAAGATGGTTCCAGCAGATTCCGGTGACAAAGAAAATAATCCGTCAGTGGGAGAGAATCCCCCTGCGAATTCTTCAAAAGACACCAACGGAGACGAAATACGGAGACGAGCCTCGCAAGGAACGCGAGAACAAAGCTTGCCAGTCCAAGCTCCTTATCGATAGGGATGAATCTGAGCGATCATCTCAAACCTGACCGCAGATTTTCTGACGATACGTTTTTTTCTCTAGAGAAATAAGTCACAAAGTCACCGGATTTGGAAAGCTGAATGACCGTAGGAGCGATAGAATTGGATCCGCATCGGACTCTCCCTCCCTTATCTATGCATAGGAAGGCGCTGCGAGATGAGAAGGTTCATGCAGGACCGATGCCTTCCCTGCTCGGCAATCATCCTCCGTCGGGAACTCCGCCGATATCTACAGGACCCCAATCCCGCACCGGATATGCTTCGAAAGATTCCGAAGATCGAGGGCGGTACTGACAGCGCAGGGACTGGCATCATTTTTCAAGCACCGGATGATATTTAAGCGATTACAGCGAGGGAAAGTTCCGTCGCCAATCCTCTCGATAACGCTCTATATAACAATTAGATGGGAAGAGTCGATCAAGGCGATGAACACGTTGCGACGGAAGAAGGCTTCGGGAACAACACAGCTCGCCGCGAGTCTAGCCAGGGAAAGCCTACATGTCCGCACAAAGCGGGAAAGCAAACCAGCCACCACTCCCTGACTCGGATTTGATGAAGCGTTTCGAAAAGCCCGCTGAAGGCTGTTAGAGCGAATACAACCGCTTGACGGACACCCCGCATACCACGGCGGCGATGAGCCGAAGGGAAGCGGGCAAAGACATCCAGTGGAACCGGAAACCAATTCAATTCCACTTGACGTTCAAATCTCACGAGATGCTGGGATTCGTTATCTTCATCTCAGAATCAGAATGATGGCCTCCCTTCGCATTTTGATGAGGGAGCATAGTTCAAATAAAAAACCGAAGTAAATGCTAAGCGTCGAAAGTCCATGGATCTCATCTCATGAGCTCTGACTCACCGCTGAGCTTTTGATGCTCCGGCTCGAGAAATTGAATAGAAAAATGAGATGACGTATCCCCGGTGAAGTTTTGATTTATAGTTTTTCCCAATAATGAGCGCGTCAAGACTTCCCCATTGACGCTTGGGAGCGCTCACGATGAAATCTTAATTTGAGGTCAATGTTCATTGATGGACTTTCGATATTCCGCGCGAAAACTCTGCTTCTCTTCTCCCGAATGACCGGATGAGCGGAATGGACATTGATACGAGAGGAAATTGATGAGCGCGATGAAAAGTCTTCTTCGCTGATTGCGACGCGTGACTCCGGAGGCTGAGCTTTCCGTCGGGATCGAGAGAGCACGAACTCAGGTAGCGTTGCGGTCTCCTCTGGAACCACGTAGCGTCGCTATGTAATATGCAAACCGTGTCCGAGGAGAGCGCTGTTGAGAAGACGTGGGAGAAGCTAACCATTTGCTGGTGATGGTCGGTGGTCTTTTGTGCTCGAGGTTTTTTTATTTATCATCTCAAATAACTCATCTGAGTTTTTGTTCGCTGCTTACTTCCTCTCATTGGTTTGCATGCGTTGTCCAGACGGTTTCTCGTTGCTCGTCAACGCGGTGCTGTCGTCGCTGCCGCGCCGAACAATAAATCGT